ATTTCTTTGCATTCTATCCCGTCCTACTCTCCTGACTACTCTTACTACTACACTTATTATTTTTGCTGACATTATATACATATATATATATCAACCTCAAATATAATCAGCTGTCCTTTTTATGTTTTCCTGATTTCTTTTTCTGCCTTCTAGTCTGAATAACCCACACTAATTATGTCTGTTATTATTATTATCTCTGTTATTTCGACGACGATACTAACTGGTGAAAGGATCAACTCCATTCACAGTGGCAACGAAGGCTCAACATACCGCATACTACAAACAACATATAATTAATCCCAGCACCGCTCCTTTTGAAGTCGAACAAAGCTACGACAGTCGATTGGCGGGACGCAGAAGCTTACAGAAGATAAGGAACCTATACCTCACAATCAAAAGGCGAGCACAAATAAACCAAATTGGTTTATACTAGCTCGTAAAAACGATATTGGATATTGGAGTGAGGGTATTAATGATTGGTAGGTGAATTAACCTTCCTTTCATTTCAGCCTCCTTAAAAAGACAGCACACAGGCGGTCATTTCTAGCCTGAATTCCCTCAGGTAGCTGGTGTCCCGCGTGGTTCGTTGTGATTTGGTATTGCGTGTTTAAAATGCTGGGCCAAGTTTAACTTTAGGCCTGAGTAATTACGAGTGGGGTGCTACAGCACCAGTGACCTTGAATGGGACAGTGAGATTCCTCATGTGAATTCAAGGTTTTATTATGCATGATATTTGGCAGATGCCTACTTCAGCGTATAAAATATTGTGTAGATGGTGACTCTTAACTACAGCAGCCCAAACCGAAACTACCTAGCGAACGGATAAATGACCTTGAGCAACCAATCAGGTAAATCCTTATCATCCAGAGGTACCTGCGGATGCTGTACACTTTTGCTTTGCGAATTCGCTACAGATCTTGTTTTTGATTACTGTTTGAAGAACAGACAGTTAGGAAGGTCGAAAAATTGTGAATTTGGAGGTGTCATGTATGTACAAAGGTACACTAGGTGCATCGATAGATTTGGCTACAGGTGCGATGAGTGTCAAACCAGAAAGTGAGTTCGAGAAGGTATAATGTTTTTTATAGCTTACAGGTTCCGTAGGTACTTTTTTCGCCAAGTATAAGTTACCTCTAACGAAAATTTTAATGATGTCAGAGACGGGTGCTTAAAAGACCAATAATTGCGACGGCATATGACGCATAAAATTCCGAAGTGTCTGCAGTGCAATGATGCCAGTACTTCAGATACTTTTGCATCAACGTTTTGTTCAAATTATGCGCCGTTTCTATAGAGGCCTCTGATTAATCAGAGTTGTCGGTGTCAAAGTCATTAATCTGTTCTTTGCATGTAGGTCTTTTAACCATGGCGATAACACTAATCTCCCCTCAACTTGGAAATATCCCTACAGTGACCCAAATCTAACTCGAACCAAACCTAATATCGTCCTCATTAGGTTAAGCTAACTGTAGCCTGCCCTTAGACTAGGCCTTAACATTTTTTCCTATATATAACCTGAAACTTAGCTGATATTCCATTTAATAACGTAGCACTTCAATAGGCACCTTTTATTTACGAAGAGAACATCATTTAGCAGGTTTCCCTAACTTAATCACTGAGCGCTTTCAGGTCATTGGTGCGGTTGCACTCTATTGGTATTTACTAGTGCGTAAAGTTGGCCATAAAAAGCTTCAGTAAATCTGTTGATGGACACGTCCTCCACTGTAAAGTTTAGTTGAGATGGTCATCTAACTAACTCGCATTAGTAAGAGGGAAGTTGGACTAACGATTACATTACTTTAGCTGATCATTAGATATGGTGGTGGTCATTAAGGTGAATCGCTCCATTCTGCAGGGACAGCAATGTACAATTTGACGGCTCGAGATTTTCATGATTTTCATGAGGGCTTAGATCTTTATCTTGAAAAAGTAATGAACGCCTTGACAGATCATGCTTCTACCTTTAAATATATACCATTCGCTCAGCCTATTGTTGAGATGCGACCACGTGGGCTCTGCACAGATTTATGGGGCATCTTATAAATTAACTTGCTATCCATTGTCGGATCTTTAAATACCACATCACAATATCTTGTCTCACTTATTTTCTAATAACGTCTTTACTTGATCGTCATTATATTCCATTAAACCTAACATTTTATAGCTCTTTATGAATTTGATTCGACTTATCCTATTCCTTTTCTCTGGAGGGTACGGTTGTGCACCAAATAGACAAAAAGGCATGAAATAAAAAAAACTGGCTTGAGAATAATTGTATTAAAGCCAAAAGTGAACATCATGATAGTAAGACCTATATGGGTAGCATTATACATTCCAAATTAACGTTGTCGGCCTGGGGATTAATTACTTTCCCATTCTACATCCTATATAAGTGTATATATTAGTGATATATTGCACTTACTTATTTTATTACACTTTAATGTTTCACCTTAGCACTTTAACTTTTCTAAAACAGCTTCCAATCCCTTGTAAATGCTGTACTTGCCTCAATATTGGTTGGTTATCGTATGCCTACAACCACGGGATGAAAACGAAACGAAGTCGATTTTCCCGCCCAACCTGGAGGACAACTGTACAATTCAATAATTATACGGCCTGGTTCAGAAATGAGTGTATTTATATATATCAAATATTTAACTGTTGAAACAATTAACTTGTAGACAATCTACGATTTGACATTATATCCTACCTGGTCGTTCCTGTAAAAATGGCATGCATTTTCATGTAAGTTTGATGTGGTTTTGTTCTCTGAGCTGGATAGTTAGTTTGCGAAGCTTTCATCACCTTACTGGGTGACATCTTCAGCGCATACTTCAAATTTTCATGTAAGTTTATATGTTTATATGAAAATATAAATTATTATTTTTATTATAAAGAAATACTTTTTGCCAGATCACACTTGTCATTAACCTAAATTTTGTGTATTCGTAATAAGTGGGTTTTAAAACACTCTATAAGAGCTAGAGCTGCTACAGCGAAAAACAGTCTAATTTCAACTGCTCAGTGGTGTCAGCAATGAAGAGATACTGCATTTCGGAATGTTGACAGGGTGACCTCTTCGCTGGGAGGGGGGAGAAGGTTTTGTTATACGTGTAGATGAAACAGTTATAATAAAGTAGAGACGCAACCAAGTTTGCGAAGCTGCAAATAGCGTTTGGGTGATTGGATTCTACGTTACCGCTCTACGGAAATGAGTCGCCGAGATAATATTAGACAGAAAACTACTCTCTTAACTTATTACTGCAAGACTGGTGTACCCTGGATCCACATTATCCACAGATGAATGTGAGAATTAAAACTTTTTATCATCTACTGGGTACATTCACCAAAGCCATCCATTCTAAAGATTTCGTGGATCCCACTACAAGCACCCATACCAGTTCTACTGAAGGATTTTGCGGAAGATTGTAGAATAGGGTTAGAGCCATTGACGGATCTCAGTGGGGTGTTATTGTAGCACCCCTATATTAAACCTGGCTGCACGCTTACAAAACTAATTCATTTACACATCTTATAAACTTACAGAAACTAATTTTACTTATGCTTGTTGAATATTTGCCATTGTATTACTGAATATGGCTTTTCATTTGCTATACATATATTTTGCAGGATTATGCACTTTTTCGTGCACCTCGGGCTTTTTGAAATTTGATTTCGTTAATAGTACATCTTTTCAAGTTTTCACTCGTGCTTCTTAATACAACGTTGTTCGTCGTTGACCATGTACAGCGTTAGCACGTATTAAAACGTGTAATGGGAATCATCTTCAGAAAGTCATATGATTTACAGCTACTTAGATAAATTTATGTATAGAACATGGCTTAACTTCTCTATTAATAATCCTACAGAAAAATGGGAGGCATTTTTGTCACACGTCCGAGAAAGGTATCCCGCGTGACATTCTTTACACCTTTTTTATACATTATTTTAATAAAAGTGTCTACTTTATAGCCTTTTTCATGTGACTGGTGTGTCTAAATTAACTTATCCGTTGGTACCTAATGATATCATAAGGTATATGCCTAAAGTTCAACTTCGCCAAAAACTGTGATCATTTTGGATGTTAATGTTGTCTTACTGATGTTTTATACAGCTGGAATACCCTTTGTATAGTTCACTGTGCTCCTCACGATGGTATTCGGAGATTACTTCGATCCTAATGGAGTGTTTGAAACAATTCATATTGAAACAAAGAACTAATGACCTTGACTATTCCCGGGTCTAGATCTTACATTTTGATTCCTTTCAGCACAAAGCGAGATGACTCTAAGATACTCATACGTTATGCACCGTTAAAAAGTAGTTATAAAGAATAACTTTCTTGTACATGCCCAGAGAAAAGCTTCTAATTTCTCATAACTAGCTTAAACTAATTTTTGCACATAAATTCATCTAGACAGCTGTGAATCATCGTGTTCCTTAACTCATTCACTGCTCTTATCCTCTATTTTTAGGTAACTCGAGGAAGTTTCTATGGAAGTTTGTGAGTCCCAATTAAATGATTAACGAAATCCACCATATGGCTGAACCTGTTGTGGATATAGCCCAAAGTTGACAGTTGGCTACACGTTTTCTACATTCCAATGAGCCAGCCTGTTGTCTAAGCAGTACTTAAATACTGAATTTAGATAAAATTTGCTACGTAATTCATGAACGGCACCCATTATTCCGCCTATACACAACGAACTCATCTGGCAGGTTGTTCATGGTCATTGATCCGTTCATTGCTAATTAGTTTCGTTTTGGGCTGTTATAATTTAGAGTCACGCAAAGCGAAACTTCTTAAAAAGACGGGGTGGAGGAAAGGAATATAACCCAGCAACAGTAAACAATAGACACTGACTTTAGACGACCTTGAAACAACCAATCAGATTCTTCTAGGTGAAAAGTGATACTTAGTTTACAAAAAAGTGTATTTATGGCATATATGTAATAAAAATGAATCATACAGCCTATATATCTCTCATATGCCGCAAAACCTGGTCCCAGTCTCTCATAGAAGTGGTTGTAGACATATCAAACTAGTGTATTCTCTGTTTCTACAGCTGTAGCAGACACTGGTCGCTTCACTAGGCAGTTGTAGCATATGCGGAATACATTACTAAGGGAGAGTTTCGATCTCGAGAAGAAAGTGTCTGAAAAATCATCACAATGTGCGGCTTACCAGCACTTACAGACTACCTCACACAAAGCGGGGTTGCATCTGAATGCATAACCATCAATAGCCTGGAAATGCTTTTACACACTCATTATCCCCCCCCCTACCGAACATTTGCATGTTTTAGTCCTCCCTATCACAACCCATTTTCCACACACATAAGTCAAAAACAAAATCTAGGTGAAACTGACATCGAAGATTATGTGAACGGCATCTATTTGTTATACTGAGCTATCTGATTGGTCAGTTCAAAGTCATACCTGACTTTAGTGTTTATTATTTACTCTTTTGCCCATATAACCCATATTTACTGTCTAGCTTATAATAGACACGATGACTGCAATCTCACTTTTCACATTGTACACAATTAATATTTGATATTCGAAAAAAATAATACTCACACACTTTCAAAGTTGAATAAGGGAACCAGCGTTACACTGTGGTTATTGTTGTTGTTGCTGCTGTTTATTTTTTCTGTGCGTTTTTATCATGTACAAAGAAAAATGAAGAAAGGAGAGAACAGATAAAACACTTAAGAAAAACAAACAAGGCGAGGCATCTCAACACAACACATTATAAAAAAACAAAAACAAAATCACTAATACAAACAAATTCAGTGAAAAAATAAAGTGACTAATTTCAAAGATGAGAAAAGTAGAGACTCATTCATCTCAATGGTATGTCGAATAAATCATTGAAAATGCAGTTGATTTGGATGAAGTACAGATATTGGCGGTATTGTTATTGTTGTTGATGTTGTTATTGTTGATGGCATTGATGGCGATGACGATACTGATGTTTGTGAAGATAAATTTGGAGGTATGAAAAGAACTCCTGAATTGAATAGGTCATTCCTTTGTTGAAGATTTGAAGAGTTCACCAGACTGTTAGGCAATAACATATTTGTTGTATTAACAGGAATCATATTTACTGGTGTAATAGGATAATTTTTATTAGTTGTCAACGCCATCATATTTGTTGTTGGGGGTATTAAACATGCTGCGCCTATAATATATTGACTTGATCGTAGACTACCGTTTGGACAGTAATGTACTGCTGTCTGTGCATCCAGAGGATTGTTAAAACAGGCTAGAAAATTAGCTGTACCATTTGGTTGATATTGAAATGGTATGAAGTATGGTTGAGCCTGGAACAAAAACAGAAGATATGAAATAGATTGGCTTGAGGAAAAGAAGCTATCTTGAGGAGTTTACGCGCATAATATAAGCAGACACTACAACGAATATTCCAGCTGTGTATGACTATTCGTAAAGCCAGAAGGTCCTGGGATCGAACCATGGCGGTGGGTGCGTACTGCTAAAGAGTCCCAAACTGGACTGACAAAACAGCTGTCCAGTACTCCCTGTAGGTTTTCCAGTGGTTCTCTAACTGATGTCAGCTCATGATGAAATCCTCCAAACAATCAAACAAAACCCAGTCCCTGGCTATAAGGCTTGTTTATTGTCTGAAGGCTGATGGTACTAACTAGCTGAGTATGTTGACGTATTTGGAACGGGATTCGAACAAGGGACGCACTGGCTAAAAGTTGAATGTTCAAGTCAATTAACCACTTTTCAACTAAGGCGTTTCTTTAACCTCAAAGGAACTGATGTTCCCTCGGATATGCAAATAGTCAAGGACGTATTCTGTGAGCAAATCGAAAACTTATACTCTTACGTCCTGACAGAATATTCGAAACAAAACAGAACATAAATTTATTCGGATTAATACTAATGAACTAACTAACCGTCAGTAGATGACGAACAGGATTGAACAATGATGCTAGTTCTTCTTGTGTTGCATCAACTGGAGCACCGGTTAGCATGACCATAGATGCTGTCAAGCCGGATTGACTGAATCGATTTTGAGCTATTGAGGCATCATTTACAAGTGTTGGAACTTTAGGATCCAATGGAATGCATGAACTACCTTGGTTTGTTGAAGGTATAAGACTTGATGGAAGCAATAATCCTTCTTGATCTTGAGTATTGACTGGAGATTGAAGATGAAGACCAGGTAGTGAATTGACAAAATGCGATATATCGAAATTTCTGACTGGTTGAGTTAATCGTTTTAAGACTGTATGTGGATCTGAGAGTTGGACAGGTGAAGTAACAGCTGAAATGAAACGCGGAAGGTTACTAATGATAAAAGTATGATTATGATTCAGGCGTATGTGAAAACACTTTCCTCTGTTACGCAAACACACAAAATGAGCAAATTTGTAAACAGCAGAGCTCTCACAGCCAAGTAACAATAAATCCACGATATTTTCTCTTCAACTCGTGACGAACTGTTGTCTGTCTGTCTGTTTTCGACATAGGACTTTGCACCGATGTGCAGCACTTCGAGTCTCTACACTCTATATAGCACACAAAACAAGAGGAGAAAGTAATAAAAATGCGAAACAGAGATATGAGGCAAAAAGAATAGTAATATCGAAGAACAAAAGTATTTTATTGGAAATCATAAGTCACAAGGAGTGGATGCATTTGCACCAGCCATCACGGAGAACGATTTTGAGCCATATCACTAACTGTTTCCAACCATTGTTATTTGCCGTCCCGGAGACCCCAACCAGGAAGTCTACACCTTCCTACGTGGCTGGCTTAAACCAGCTGTTGTGGTTTTCAATGACTCATGAAGCGATGTTTTGGTTTGACCACCACTGGCTATCTCTTTTCCAACTTGATCCTATGTCAGCCAACATTGCCCATTGTCGAGGAAGGCGATGACTAGGCATACGTGACACATGTCCTAACCATCTCAGTCAATGTAATTTCACAACCTCATCGATTGATTTCCCCTGCTTACCTAGCCCTCACTGGATGCCTAACCTCAATATTGCCCACTTTATTATAGCACTTCACACGGGAGATAGAACGCAGGCACCTATGATCGAAGACAGCTAGTCTTTTCATATCTTCCACTCTCAATGGCTAGGTCTCACAGCCATAAAGGCGGACGGATTGGACTGATGAGCAGTACACCCACCCTTTGATCGGCAGCCAGCTGTATATCACGTCTACGCCAGAGACGGCATAAACTGGCATATGCGAAACCAGCCCTCTGTATCCGTACTCAGATGAGATTTCGTCAGAGATCAACCCGTTGGGGCTAATCGCACTTCTAAAATAAGTGGAGCGGTCAACGTGCTCTAACACTTCACTCGCTATTTCTAAAATAGAAGTCAGTGTAGTACAGTCCTGTAACAACATCTTACATTTGGCGGGAGCGAATCGCATCCAAAACATTCGTAGATTGCAGCTCAAGGTGTTCAGAAGACTCTATATTTTGTCAGCGTCCTCGCCTAGAAGGACTATATCATCTGCATAAACTAAGTCAACGAGATTATTCCCTGGTAGCAAGTCAATCCCTGAGTCGCTGAAGTGAGCTAGGGTTAAGTCCATTAGTACATTTATGAATTGATCCTTGACGGACACCACTAGTCGTCACCAGTTCAGTTGACAGCTCGCCGTAAGCCCTCACCTGGCTGTATGAGTACGAGTAGAGTGCCTTGATCAGTGCAATATATTTTCTCGGAATTCCCTTTACAGCCAAGCATCTTCAGAGAACCTCTCGGACGACAGAATCGAATGGCGTCTTTAGGTCAAGAAGTATAATGATTGTTGGACGCCGGTAGGAATGCCTATGTTCTAGAATCTGTCGGAGGGTGAAGATATGACCAATACACCCCCTTCCTGGTCTAAAGCCTGCCTGGCTCCCTCGTGTTTATGCCTCCCGAGCGCCACTTAATCTACGTATTATTATTGGGCCTAGGACTTTAGATACTATATTAGTCAAGCTAATCCCTCTGTGATTATCACAGGAAGACTTGTCTTCCTTCTTGTATATGGCGATAATCAGTGACTTACACCAATCCGATGGGACTTCCTCTGATTCTCAGACGCTCCCTAGTACCCCGGTACTGTTGTTGATAACTTTCAGCTAGCTTCTCAGAGTCTCCTTCAGTTCTTGAATACTGACTAGGGCCTCCAGCAATATTTTCAAGATACACTCTCAAAAGATTTAAGCCTATGACAACCTCATCTCCTACAAATGTAGTGACATCATTCGAAGAGAACAAGAATGGTTGACGGAGAAGTATTTACTATGCCAAAAAACACATCTGGATGTTGGGAAGGTCATAGGTCTGAAACAGATGTCCCAATTTGGAAATAATACTATTTAATGCTATTTTTGTCTGGTTTTTGCATTGAATTCTTCTCAGTGTTGTTGCCTCCTGTTACTGATACAAATTATCGCCACTTTTCTAAATATGTCAAGCAATGTACTACTTGTATCTCCTTGTAAGTAGTATACCCCAAGATACTATGAATTTCAAATTAGGTTTAATGAGAAGTTGTGACCAATAGGCTCTACTATGTTGGGTAAGAGGAGAAAAACTCGCTGATAACATTGGGTCGCGGCAATGACGCTGTTTATAGCGAATTGTAATTAGCAAGAATTTGGTGGTCTGTCTGATTCCATACCAGTTGGCTGAGTGGTTAACAGACTCGCCTTGAAAACTTAAAGTCCTGGGGGTTCTATTCATAAGGGTTAAGCTGATCAATGAGTGCTAATGAAGAGAGGCACTCCATGGTTTTCTAACTGATTGAAATCTGTGATCTAGCTTGAAGTAAACTGTCATCTGAAAATAGAATTAACTCTTATTATTTTTTTTACCGCTAATGATTTATTCATGTATTCACAGTTTAGGAAATCATCTACTCAGTTAAACACGTGCACATTTAATCTTTACAGCAGTCGAATTCATTGACTAATACTCGCGTATATGAATTGTATGCAAGTTGTTCAAGTTTATGATAAATTCGCTTGATTATCACTTGGCTTTTATTAGACCAAATTCTCAATCTACACAGTTCGAGGTGGAATTTCAAAATATTTTCTTTCAGAAACCTAAATTATTCAAATCATATAGTACATGTGGTCTGTGTGCCATCACAAATAGTAATCAGGTAGGTTCTCTATAAATAGATTTTTTTATTGACCCATGAAGCCGTCGACTGAGCAATATGTCTGGGAAAGATAAACAATTATCTTCCTCCATTATGGATAAGATAATCATATAATTCCAAAATATTTACGCATAGGCATTGCAATTACTTCATGGAAAATATCATCAGCAGCTGAACATCTCAGTAAACTATCTTCCTCTTCTACAGATGTAAGTGATATGCTATTCTGAACTTCATTCATTCGATTTAAAATTGAGGTGGGAGAACAAGACTTATCAGTGATGATTACAATATCATCTACATACCGTATATAAAGTGGCACATTTTCAATTAAATCCTCCTATAAATTCTCAATGTACGACATATAAATATCTGTTAAAAGGAATTTATTACTTCTATGTACTAATAATGTTAGGTTTACATTTGAAGGCAGATGTTTCCGTCAAGTTGATTGTGTTGCTATGGGAAGTCCGTTAAGGCCCCTTTTAGCAGATATTTATATCTCGTACATTGAGAATTTATAGGAGGATTTAATCGAAAATATGCCACTTTATGGACGGTATGTAGATGAGATTGCAATCATAAGTGAGTGATAAGTCTTGTTCTCCCACCTCAATTTTAAATCGAATGAATGAAGTTCAGAATAGCATATCACTTTCATCCATAGAAGAAGAAGATATTTGTTTATCTTTCCTAGACATATTGCTTAGTCGACGGCTTCATGGGTCAATAAAAACATCTATTTATAGAAATAGTAATCAAGAAAGCAAACGTGAATGCATGGCACCATATACCAGATGGATGATGAGTTCTGCCCCAAAATGAGCGAAACAGACGTCCAGTGTTGGGATAATTTCCATCTGGTTAACCTACAAGCACTGCTAGTTGATGTGAGTAGTATACAACTGATCACCTTAATTAATAAGTGGTCAATATATTGATATCACTGCATATTGGTCCAGTTTGTCGCCATTTGGTAATTTGTACATCCAATAGCCAGTGTAGTCGAATAGTAGAGTACTCCTCAAACGTGCACATGGCCCATTTTTGAAGCATGAAGCCCTATGTTCCATTGTGAATACTACTACTACTACATACTACTGACTGATGTGGGTAGTAGTAAGTAACTCATATGAAACGGTATTGTTCCTGAGGCAAATCAAAGTGATCTACAAACACTGAACTGATGAATCGATCATTTGAAGGCTGATGAAAATTAGCAATGTACCGAGATTGAATCATCTCTTCACAAAACGCCAGAATTCTAGCCAGCTACTATGGCGAAACTGACAATAAAGTGAATGGAACTCACAACTTTGAGGTGAAACTTCGCTACAAATTCCTTTGGAAATTCAATTTATTCGGTTGATTTAAACTGACTCACCTTTCTGAGCTGAGTCATCAAACTGAGTGCACCTCTGGTAAGCACAGCCGTGAACTGGTAAAATGGTCATCTGGTGTTCAGACCACTTCAAAATGGCTAGAAGACAATACTGGTCGATATGAATGATATAATTACTCATATCAATCTAACCAAAATATTCATTCAGACATCTATAAAACACAAAATAATTGAGCAAAGAAGAATATCCCTTTCGATAAATTCCTCCTCTGGCTCTACAATTATATGTATATATCTGTATGTTTATATACATCGAATATTCTAGAATAGCCGTCATTAACAATATTAGTGTTTTTTTAAAATAATATCGATTTGTAAAGTAAGATCACAATGGAGTTACAGTTCATTAAAGATGCTTAAATTGTAATAAGCTTAATAAAGATATAATAGCGAATAGAATATCAACTAAAATTAGGGGAATTTCTACAAAAAATTCAGGATCATTCAAATCTAGATGGCCAATGGGTTAAGGACAATGTCTGAACTAACAGCTTCTTTTGAATGCACAAATTAGGCTTGTTCATGTGGATTCCAACAGCCGGTTTCAGCAATATTTAGTAGACGGACTCTTAAGCAAAGGATATTCAAAATCTATTCGTAGCGCTATTCTATCTCATCTTGTGGATATAAAACACAAGATTGACGTTAACCAGACTGCTTTCAGGGTTATTTACCGCATACCTACGAATCTCAATTTTGCCTTAAGAGTTCGACAACTAAATATTGCTGAGACCGGCTGTTGGAATCCATATGAACAAGCCTAATTTGTGCATCCAAAAGAAGTTAGTTCAGACATTGTCCTTAACCCATTGGCCATCCAGATTTGAATGATCCTGAATTTTTTGTAGAAATTCCCCTAATTTTAGTTGATATTCTATTCGCTATTATATCTTTATTAAGCTTATTACAATTTAAGCATCTTTAATGAACTGTAATTCCATTGTGATCTTACTTTACAAATCGATATTATTTGAAAAACACTAATATTGTTAATGACGGCTATTGTAGAATATTCGAAGTATGTAAACATACAGATATACGTATATAATTGTAGAGCCAGAGGAGGAATTTATCGAAAGGTGGATATTCTTCTTTGCTCAATTATTTTGTGCCATATCAATTTATACTTCCTCCGTTGACCATCACATTATGTTGGCTGAATAATTAGGATTCTTGAACTGTGTACTTTGTAATGTTAACTTTCAAATGTTGCTTGAAGTTGAACCATGGAGCAATATGAATCAGAGAATCGTTGAAAACTACAGATTGCCTGAAAAGTCACACCTCCCCAGACAGTACCCCCTAATTTTCAACGCTTTTCAAACTGATATCGAGCCTTGGCTTAAATTACAATTATATTTCACAATGAATAACTTACTATTCAGTATATTTTGATCATCATATTTCGTTGTTATTGGAAACTTTATTGATTGTTGTTGTTGCTGATATTGTGACCAGTTCAAATGATTACTGACAGTCTCATTATTCGATGATGTCACCGTTGATGGTGCCGCCACTGTTGCAGCTGCTGGTTGTGCTAGTCTTCCATAAGATGTTGGATGTATCCTATGCAGTGGAATGCCAAGACCAATATCTGATAAGATAATCACTGATAGTTTACCGTCTTGATTAACGCTATAAAGTGCAAAGGTTGGAATATTTGACGGCATTTTCATTTGTTTATTACCGTTATTATTATTATTATTAATATTATTACTATTGTTATTATTGTTAGTAGTAGTGGTGGTAGAAGTATGTCCACGATTACAAACACCACCGACCGTAGTTATTGTGAATGTTCTATTGACTAAATCTCGAATGAATTGGATAGCTTCATTTGTATTGATTAGGGATAGTAACCATGTGGACGTATGACTGTTGGGCAAATTTTCCTAGAGGAAAAAAAAGAAAAAAGGGGAAGAGGAATGTAATGAAACGGTCTACTGGTGAGGATGGCTGTGTCTATCTCCAGTAATTACAAAATGTATCATTGAAATATAGTTGAAGGAAGACACCTCTTTCACTTATCTGATGTGAGCAGCATAGATGGGGATATCGAGGCTAACCAGGATGGAAAAAGCGAGATTGGTCTTCATTAACCTAAAGTAAGTGTGTAAGTCTGCTGCAATCAACATAGGGATCAAGATTTTAGGTCTCCAATGTTAATGTGAACTCATTCAGTGATTCTATATTGTCGTTGTCATCACAAAAAGCTTTTCCGTTAGAGGCTTTTATCAGTGCGCATCCACTTCGATATTGATATTCAAAGATGAGATGTCCAGTCAGAAAGGAAAGGCAACTAGGAAATCTAGCAAATAACTCACCAACTGTCGAGTGAATATACTAAGGGAGATGAAGGTAAATTATTATTCCTTTGGGTTCCAAGTGGAACATACAGCTTCAACAATACATCTCCAATTTCTTTTACTTTCTGACATCCTCATCAGCTAGGTCCACGATTAACCATGATCTCCTTTATCTCTTACTCACACGATCTTCCCCATGTCACCCTAGGACGACAGACTCGTAGCGCTTTGCATTCGGATTCCACTCTAGCTGTGGCTTGCATTGTGTGTGATGTTATTCGACGGTCTCCTCACTTTATGCCCGATCAATCCATATCTCTTTTGTTGATCGATCGACTATTGGTTGGTTTGTTCCCACAGTTTCTTGTCGATAATTCTTTCTGGTCATTTGATCTTCAATATGGAGCTAGTAAAGTGAACTCCTGTTGGTGAAAGTCTGCAACAGGCTGTTGGAAATCTTTTTTGTGACACACAGTGCAAGTTTCTGACCCGTATAGAAGGACCAACTTCACAATGGTGTTGAATTCCGAATATTTTACCTTATTTTGAGTACAGAAGATTTCCACACCGGTTTCAGGTTGATGTAGGCGTATCTTGGCTGGCTGGCTGGCTTTGACATCTGCCTCCATTGCATCTGTAGTTGAAACTATGCTTCCAGGATAAGTGAAGCTGATAACCCCTGTTGATGGTGATTAGTGTTGGTTGTTGTTGTTGCTGTTGGTCGGTCGGTCGGTCGGGCATATTCATCACCTCCGTTTTCTCTATGTTCACTTTGAATCCTGTCTTCACTGTCTGCCTGCTTCTTCAGCCAGTTTGATGCTTCTTGCCTACAAGTCTTCCAGTTTGTGTGGCATTAGGCATATATCATCTGTGAGAAATGCAGACGTTCTAGAGTCTTATTATCAGTAGTCTGGCGTATTCCTGTCTCCTGGCTTCTGAGGCACAGTCTGAAGCATAATCCAGTCAACCACAATTAAGAATGTCATCTTAGGTGATAATAGGCAGGTAGCCTTCTTTTACTTCTGTATGCACTTTGAGTGTTAAAGGGACCGTTAAATGACATTATATATACTTCAAGCCTTCAAGTGGGACCTGAACAAGAAATGACTAACTGAGGCATCCGACTTGCAAGAGATCATGTAACGAGGAAATGAAAGATTGTGGGGGTTGTGAAGGCAACCAGAAAAAAGACTGCAGAGCGAGAGAGAGAACGGAGTGAAATAGAGACGTGCTGCTAAAGCCCTCTATTCCACCCTGAACCTAAGGGAATAATAATACGTAAACAACGCCAGTAAGAACACCTAAAATCTGGATATTGTGTTTGTCAGCACTTGCATTAACAAGGCGTATATCTGGTGACCACAATGTAAAACTTGACCGATAATAGAGTTCAGTCAAAATCCGAACACCAAGCACTAAACTCATGACAATGATTACTCCATAGCCATAAATCGATACAATTGTTTGCTGTAAGTGTCTGTCTAAACTTATCCAATTAAAGAAGGGATAGATTCGAACAATATAATGTCAACATTGGTCACAATTCAGAGACCGTTAGTAGTAGAAAGTCATTTTTGGGTGGAGTAATTTATTGACAGAGAACACGATTTTAGAATTGAGTGATAATTTTTACAATCCTCCATGAGAAAAACTTGATTTCTGTTATCATTATTATTATTATCTTTTTCAGTTCCTAGAGGAACATAGGACTTCAGCCACATGTCTCCAATGCTTTCAGTTCTCCACCAACGTTTTCAATTGGCTTCACGTCTGCCCACTTGCTTTCATCTCTTCTTTTCATGACCTCCTCCATGTCACCCTAGCACTGGCGATCAACTGGCCGCTTCCCATTCCGTCGGGTTTCACTCGAGAGCCTTGATGGTTTTCTCAGAGTATGTGACCAATCCACCTCCATTTCTTCCTGCATATTTGTTGCACAATTACTTCCTGCTGGATTGGTTCGCTCCCACAAATCCCTCACTATTGCTGATCTGTTTCTGGCCGGCCATCTGATCTTTAGTAGCATTGGGCGAAGACAGCTATTGATGAAGGCTTTTAGTTTGTTCGAAGTGGTCTTTGTGACGCGGCGCCAAGTTTCTGATCTGTATAGTAGCATTGAATTCCTACTGAAGGTGAGAATCCGGGTCTTATTTTTCATACTCGTTTCAGATTGGTTCCATCGGCTAAATGGTTAATCGACTGGCCTCATAGTCTGATGATGCTATGTTCGACCCTCAAGGGAATCATAGATGAGTGGTTAAGAGCGTCATGGAAATCATTTCCGACAGGTTACTGGTAACTTTCTTGAGTAACTGCCATCTCTCATTGCTGAAAATCGAATTGCCGGCCAACTCAGATTTCCAGCAGACAGAAGATCAGTCATCAGCGCATTTCTTAACAAATATATAGTAGAGGTTGAAGGTGGATTGCACTTTTGCCGAGGAAATCTCCAAATGATACGGTATACCAAACAGTCGAATGGAAGCTGAATGAGAAGTGACAAATTAAGTGCCTGAGGCTGATACGGAAAAGATTATGTCAGGAAGGAATGAAAGATATGTGCACAGTCGTGCAGCCAGATGATGTGTTGTTGAAGCCATTTATTCCAATTTGGAATGCAAAGAATAAATAATATTAGTGATGATTTCCACTACTGTCAACAAGTTGAATGGTGTGGATTAATGATAAGGCTTATTTACTGCACGACGATCGATTGTGAGAGCTTTTAAAAAAAGCCGTGAACACTTGAGACAGACTTTATGCTTGTCTGTATAGATGAACAACATGTATCTACCAACCTATATAGATCGATTAATTGAGTTGTGATATCTCTACCTGCAGGATTGAGTGACATGGATTTAAATACCATGAGGACATCAGTCCCTTCAAGAATGTAGGTACACCTTGCCAACAAATGTCGATAAGCACGAAATCTTGGTGTAGGACTTCATGCCAACTGCCTTCAACTGTCTATTATTCATGCTACAATGGTTCAATAGAAGAATGATCACCAACTACGGAAGTGTAGTCTGAAGTATGGATCCTACACCTAGTCTGATTTACCAGCTGAAAGTAAGTTTTTGGAGGGAGAAAAGGTTAGGTATGCAGCTAGTAGTCCAACACTATAAAAACATCACTGCCGTCAATGAAGCTTTAAGATCTCAATCCTGTAGCCCCTATTATCCACACAGAACTTTAGGAATGATAGATAAACAGAATCTAACATTGATTGAAACTGACTGTTTATTACAGAGATATTTTAACCTTGCAGCGAAATTAAAGTATCAAGGCCAAAGTCAAGGTTCTTCAAAAGTTGACCTTTAGGAACCAATCAAATACAGGGAATGCTATGAAATGTCATTCCAAATCAAATCACTCTGGCCTTTTTGAACTTGGAGATAATAGATTCACCATTCCACTTACTTCCTACATACTTTATCTATAAATCTATACTGATAAGTAGGGTTATAACTTTTCAGATTAAGGTTTAATATCTAGGGTTTAGGTTAGGATTATGGTTAGAGTTAGAAGTAGGTTAAAGAACAGCGTCAAAAATTCAATAGATCTCAAAGTGCCATGACCTAAAGTCACCTGGATAAATACATCTGTCGCGTATGATGTGATTTCCTTATCGATCATTTGTGCAGGGAGTGGGAGACATCCTTAAAACATTAAAGCAACAACTATATAGTGTAACATCATGTTCGCAATGTATTTTAGCGCATTTTTCAACGACCATGAGACTTTTTTGCAACTAACTTCTGATTGGTTGTTCAAGGTCACTTTGATTTTGGCTGTGGTAGTTTAACTTTGCCCATTTCCATATAGTTATCATTCTGCTGAGTAGCCGAAATATTCAAAATTACTAATACATTGTTAAGACTATGTATGTCACTTTAAGTGATCATGATGTATAACAAAAAGTTAAACATCTTAAAAATGACTGAGATTTATATGTCTGTACAATGTTCATCATGTCACCAATTAACAAAATTTAAGAATAGTCGACGGATGAGAAAGAGCCCACGAGTGACTTTGAAGCGATCAGTCATAGTTTCTGAAGTTACTAGTGAAGTCATAGCGGATTACTCAAGTTCACCATGTAAAATAATGAATAGCGTTCAAAATATAGGAAGGGGGAATGTTCTTCGGATAAGTGGTTTAAAACTCATTCCTGGCTTCAAACTACAGCTCCTGACCCTTCGACTTTAGATGCACCAATGACTGTGGAACGAGCAGTTGCTCTCATAAGTTAATTCACGTCAGCAAACCGGTAACTCCAAACATTAATTACCCAAACGAAGAACCCAAGTGAAAGGAACGTAATGACCTTGATCAACCTATCAGATAAGCCCGTAGTAAATACGAATAATTCAAAATTTAATGTCCGAGTGTTAAAACATAGTTATAGGGGGTAACTTCCTCGTATGTGTCCCAAGAAAACATCATAATTCCTTACTGGAGTCTTCAGTGTTAGCACAAATGTATTTCTGTGCATAAATTCACCCAGATAGCTGTGTATCATGCTGTTTCGTGACCCATTTACTGCTCTACAGCAACCATGAACCTAAAAATTGAACTACATATCTTCTCGGACAGATTTCCTGTAACGATAGGCTGGACGTTTGCACATATATCCATGAAGAGCGGCTGCATACTACCTCTGTAAAGATATTATTACTCCACATCTGTAAGTTCCCTATGAGTCTGTTATAGCGATTGTACTCAAGTAAAACCTTTTAATGGAATTTGCAATGTAATTCATATGCTACACCTATATTTTAGTGTAGGCTCACATGATTGGTCGATCAAGGTAATTACGTTCGTTTACTTAGGTCCACTGTGTAGGTTACTAATGTTTAGAGTTACCACAAACCTAATCTTTCTCTAACCTAACCTGATGCTAAACTATCCCTAACACTAGGCCTTATATTTTCCAGATTAGATGAGCATAATTATTTAATTGAATTTTTGATTTTCCCATCGATTGATTGGACCGAAGTGCTCAGTCTCAGGTTGACATGTCGGCTTCTTGTGCAGATGCTTCGACGATGTCTGTGCATTTAATTGGTATTTAATTGGTGAATGGTGACTATCAGTGGAATTCACGATGCGCATTTCGTCTTATTTGGGACTCGTCATCTGGATGTACCTGCATTTCTCAGTGAGTGATGATGTTCCCACCGAGGCTCGTTGTTCAAGTGGTCTAGTAGATAACGCTTTGGCGTTTGAAACTATGGGTACTGGGTTCGAGCCTCGGTGGGAACATCATCACTCACTGAGAAATGCAGGTACATCCAGCTGACGAGTCCAGAATAGAACGAAATGCGCTTTATCCTGGATTCCACTGCTAGTCACCATCCACCAATTAGATTAGCCTAGCCCTAATCTATCTCTAGCCTAAAACCAGCCTAATGTGAAAGTAATATAGGCCAAGTTAAGCTTCAAGCACCAGTAACTGTCAACAGGTTGCGTCCGCACCAGTGATCTTGAATAGACCAATGAGCTTCTTCATATGAGTTCAAGGATTTTATTCCACTTGACTCGAGTGAAATAATGCCTGCTGTAACTGTAGTTACTTTTGAAATTTTGTGTGTAGACCAAGTTTTCCAGTATTGCCTAGATGTGTGGGGTTGGTTAGACGAGAAAGACTTCATTTATGTGAAGGTGTCATGAGTATAGAAAGCTTCATCAGGCCGGTTAATGGATATGTGCATCGTTGTGCAGTTTGTTTAAGACGAGTTATTGTGAGGAAACGTAAGCTGTTATAAGACCAAAACTTGTGCACTGTGGTGTTAGAGTGTAATTCCATTATGGGTAAATTTTGTTTTGATAAAGTCTCACAGTGTTGTTATACAGTAATGTTTACTGATGACCAAGTTTCGAGCACAATTTATTAATGCTCATAATCATATCAAGGTACTCACACGATTTCCTAACTTCATTTATATAGTTCCATTATTTTCCACTTGAATTTTGCTTGATTTTATTGGTTGTAGTATTTTCCAAGAAAATCAATCCAAGTCAATCCAATAAAACCAATCAAATCAAGTGAAAATCTAATGGAACTATATAAATGAAGTTAGGAAATCGTGTGAGTACCTTGATATGATTATGAGCATTAATAAATTGTGCTCGAAACTTGGTCATCAGTAAACATTACTGTATAACAACACTGTGAAACTTTATCAAAACAAAATTTACCCATAATGGAAGGTAAGCTGATAATTATACTATTTCGTAGGAAATATTTTTGCCAGGTCCCATCTCTCTCTAACCCAGATTTTGTATATTTGTAATTACTGGGTTTTAAAACACGCTGTGAGAGCTGCAGCTGCTAAAACAGAAAATAGTCTCGTTTCATTAGTTCAGTGGTGTCAGTACTGAAGAGATATGGCATCATGGAAAATGGAGAGACTTAATTCTTTATTGAAGGGAGAAAGCATTATATATATATGTATAGACGAAACAGTCTTATTAAAGAGGAAATACAACCGAGATCATGAACAAGTAGACCATGTTTAAGTGGTTGGATTATACGACACCTCTCTGTAGAAAGGATTCATCAAGAGAATAACGGGTAGAAAGTCAATTACTTTATTACCCATTATCACTGAATCGGCAGTTGCTCTAGGTGTAACAACATAAGACAAGGGCAGGCAACAGATCGTTTTATTACGGAAATCAACACATATTTATATATGTTCCATGTACATTATTATAGCTTATTCAAGCAGACAAACACAGTCTTCTGATTGGTTGTTTCTTGCACAAGGTGACTGGTCTCTCGGAAAGTTAAGCCATATTTCTGCGAATCTTATTTGCCCACGTTAAGTCTGCTGTGATTGGTTGTTGAATCACCTTTGTTCATATTTTCTCACGGCCAATATTAGTGACCTAGACATTGACGTAAATTGATGTCTACCAATCGGCTAGCAGCTTTCTCTCACCACATAGGAACTTGATTTTTCGCGCTCGAGAACATATCCCACGATGGCTAAGTAAAGGAGTAGTTAAAACCATCAACAGTTCGATATTGGACCATCTGGTCCAAACCGGCCACAAAGCCAGCCAGCGTGGAAGAATTGTTCTCTATCATTCATTTACCGGGTACCTAATAAATTGCCGAAATCATCGAAGCACCGCATGCTCCAAACACCAGAGGCTATTGCAATTCACCTCAAACAACCAGTGCTTTGTGTGCAAAAGAAGAAAGTCAACCTAGCCACTACTAATGCCCTGGCTGGCCTTCGGTAGATACTGTAAACACATAAATTTGTATTATTATCTTTCCTAATTCATCTGTTTGACATTCAGCTTATTTTATGTTGACGCCATTGAGCTGTAATCTATCAATATTATTGATTCGATGTTATTTAAACAGCAACATTAATGTTGTTCATAACACTAATTCATTCATTCACTATAATGTATGTATAACTGCGGAGCCTGATGATGAAATTATCGAAAAGAGTATTCTTTGTTCAGTATCCATTCTTTTGAAACAAGGATGAACAACACACATAGATGGGTGGAAAAGATGTAACTCCTTGTCATCCCTGGGGCATATTCATCACGGAGTAAACTATACCAATTATTTTGTGGATCCTGTTACAGAGACGCACACTAATTCTGTCGATGGATTTTGAGCAAAGGTTGACAAACCAGATTAGAGCCATTAATGAACCGCATGTAGATGTGATGTAACTTTACAATCGATACTCCTAGGCTAAACTGAGAGAAGCTTTTGTCACATGTAAGAGAAAGGTATCCTCCGTAACAGTTTTATATACAGTTTTTATGCAATTCTTTTCATAAATATGTCTGTTTTATGCCCAAAAGTTGCCTCTTTCATGTGATTGGTGCATTCAAGGTCATTAGCTGATTGGTAGTTACTAGTGCTTAAAATTTAACTTTTCTCCTTGTTTCACTGGCTTGTTCTCAGTGGGCGTTCCTAGATCATTGATGCACTCACGCTTGTTGAGTGTCCAAAGTTTAAATTCGCCCCATAAATAACATTCTTGCCATCAGATGAAAGTCTTGCCAAGTTCATTCTGATTTGCCCCCTTCATACTGATTCGTCTAGTTTGTCGCTATGGTGATCACCATTCTCTAACATCACTTAACAATATTTGACCTCTGTTTGGTATGATGTAATTTGCAAAAAAATAACGATAAAAAGCAAAATAAAGATGAGTAATTACCATTCTTCTCATTCGATAAACTTTTGCAAAGTTTGCCGGTCCCAAATACAATCGTATATCATGTCTTGATGTTTCTAGTGGTAATTCATTCAACTGGACCATAGCACATGCTCCACCAATAGGTAGGGGTCTTGCAAATGGACATTCAGGATCTGTAGGGTCGGTTAGATCACGAATAACAGGATTTATGCCAGAAATACTTGATAGGAGATGATTTAGATGAGTTGAAGGATCAGTTGTTGAGGCTAATGGAAGCGATGATGACGGTAGGCTGGATGTACCATTATTTGTGATTATATGATGACCATTTAAGCCTGTTTCACTGGATGTCAACAAATGGTGTGATAAACCTAAGGGAAGTAGACTAGAATTCCATAGATTTGATAAATTTGATAAGGCACCAGAGTTCATGACAGATTTAAGCTGGTTGAGAGTTCGATTTAAGTGAGTTTCTTTATTAATAATATGATTACTAATATTACTATTGATAATACTTCCATTAGTTAAGTTTCCATTGTTATTTTTACTATTATTACTTATGAAATTCATCAAATTTGAACAGTTGGTAGGCGTCAGTGTTCCTGTTCCATTCGATGTTAACGAGGTGATACTTGTTCTTGGATTTGTTTGATGATAATCCAGTATAGCTGAATGATTTTTATGCGATGCAGTTGAACTATGCACTTGTGTTACATTATAACAAACCTGCAGGGAATTTAAAAATAAAAATACCATCTGAGTTAAAAAAAATATCGATACCTGGTTGGCGATTTATTTAAACAAAATTATGCGGGAAGTTCAAAAAGTTATATTATCAGCTTCGTAGCATTGAAAAATAAACGCAGTCTGATAAAGTACTTGATACATTAAGCAAGAGAGCGATCTGCTGTGATGAATGTCTCAGTGAAGAGCTTAATATTATTACACAGTTGCTGAATGAGAAAGCCAGTTACCCAGAGAAATTCACTGATAAGAATATGAATCGAAAGTCAAGGCAGGCCAAAGTAAAAACAGTTTCCATGAAGGAAAGCCTTATGCTTAAAACTACAGTTCCTCGAGGACAAAATATAGAGCATTCAGTACCGCTGAAGTATTCTGTATCTTCAAAACCAACCCTATTTTTCATTCGAGAGTTAAAGATAAACTGCCTAATTTCGCCTGTTCTGTGTGTATCTAGCAATTTGACTGCTCATGTAGAGCCATTTAGTTGCACAGGCCGTACAATTAGGCGTGTTTATCATCGGATTTCTGAGGACCATCTTGAGTGGTTGGTTAAGTAAAGGACAAGCAAAATCTATTCGTAGTACTATTCTGTTCCATCTTGTGGATACAGATCACAAGATTGATGTCAACAAGGCTGCTTTCAAAGTCATCTACTGCATATCAACTAGTTCATACCTTCACCTTAAGAGTTCGTCTGCTACATATTGCTGAGGCTGGCCGCTGGGATCCACATTAAGAAACCTAACTTATATATCTAAAAGAAGGCGTTGGTTCGGATAATTTCCTTACCTTAACCGTCAATCAATGTTTTAATGGTCCTCAATTTGGTGTAGAAATTTCCTCATTTTTATTTGATATTCTATTTGCTATTACATGTTTACGCTTATTATTATTCATGAGTCTTTCTCGAACTGTAATTCCATTGATATTACTTAACAAAATCGATATTGTTGAAGTAACACCAATATTGCTAAGGACAATCATTCTAGAATATTCTATGCATGCAAACGTATATACAATTGTAGAGCCAGAAGAGGAAATTATCGAAAAGAATATTCTTTGCTCAATGTTTCTTCAATGACTTCCTTGTAATATTCCAAGATATACAGACTATGACCGGGTATATACTACTGGTAAGTACAAGCAGTTAATAGCCATATATCTCATTCAGTAGTGCTTGTCAACCAGGTTTACATTAGGCCTAGGTCATCCGCGGTAGATCGGGAATGACTTAACACAGAGAGTAGAACATTCTTTGCTTCTATATTAAGATTAGTATTCTCCTATCCCCTAATGTTCTCCAATAACCCTGAAGATGAACTATCGGATTTAACTAATTTTATGTGTATCTATCAGTTCACTTGCTCCTTTGAACCTAAATGTTTAGGTCTCTCGATGCATATTTTACCTAAAACAGTTAAACAGCATTATCCTGTTTGGTTACGAAAAGGTAACAGTAGACCAATAAGGAGTACTATAATTGAATATTTATTCAACACTGGTCACTCAGTATGTGGGAAGAATTCATTCAAAGTCATCTACAAAGTCGAAAGAAGCCTCCCGAAAACGGTAGGCTTCCGTATACTTTGCATTGCCAATGCCATGAAGATTCAGATGGGAAGGCTTGATTTATGTACACATTCAGGAGAAACTTCTTCATCCCCTCCTTCTACCTTAGTTATTAACGCAAAGAATCCTATGAAATATCTAGCTAATATCTTGGCCTTTAATAAGATCTTTTACTTTCATCGTCTTCTAACTCCTTAACATTCAAGTTATATTTGAGTATAGATGCGAAGAAAAAGTTTAGCGACTGTCTTCTTCAGATATTCGCCTTTATTGTCCTTCAAACTTATATATTTGCATAATATATAAGCAGGTTACTTCATTCCCTTATCTAGGGAGCATTGTCTCAACTACAGGAAGTCGGAACGGACGAGGATGTCAAATCGAGCGAGAATCGGGAAGGCAGGCGAGAAACACATTCACTCATCCACCTGAAACCAATCTGGAAATCTTCGTCACTCAGCCAGCGTCAACAACAAAATTCAGTAGGATTTTCAGTACAAACGTCAAGTCAGTCAGTTCTTCTATACGGATCAGAAACTTGGCGAGTGGGTCACAAAGAATATTTCCAACAGCCTGTTGCAGACCTTTATCAACCAAAAACTGTCTTCGCTCTATACTGAAGATCAGATGGCCGGGCCGGAAAGAATCACCAACAAGAAACTATGGCTGGGAGCAAACAAAACAAGAACAAATCGCCAACCAACAAATAAGCCGGAGAAAGTGGAGATGGATTGGAAACTCGTGGCTGAGAAGGCCACTGGGTGACATCGCGCGCGCGTCAGGCCATTGGTCGAGTGGAACCAGGTCGAAAGGGAAGCGGCGAGTGGGTCGTCAGTGCAAGGGTGACATGGAGGAGATCGTATGAAGATGAGTTGAAACAGTATGGACTAACTAACATGGATGGAGGTGAAAAGTACAGCAGGAGGAAGACCGAAGTGGTAAGTGGAGACGTGCAGTTGAAGCCGTATGCTCCACTAGGAAACCAAGGGAACATTAATAATAATAAGCAGGTTACATTAATGCCAACTTCGAAAAGAATTCTGTCATATTATACGGACGATTTACACTGCTGAACTAGGTTTAAACAGAGCTGTACAACGAGCGTAGCGTGGTTTTCAAATGTTATTTAAGTGGTACTAGTCTGTGACAATATCTCCATTGAAATTAATGCAAATCCGTACAACTCAGTAATGGTTATAAGATGAATCTCTAGAAGCTTTCATGAGAAGTCATGGTAGTTGGAGTCACAATGTATACGACTTGAACTGCATGCTGTTTACCATTGGCGTGAAATGACGGTAGGGTCATATCTCCTCCCCCCACCTCTTCACAGAGTATTGGATTCCAACCTGATGACCTACCTTATAGTTGAGGGCTGACATCACTTTGATTCCAAAGAGCCCTAGACTAGGAAAATACGGGTGTTCAGTGCTCCATGGTCTTCAGTAGTTCTCTGTCTGTTGTCAGATGGGGGGGGGTTAAGAATAAGTGCACTGAAAATACGATATCTTTTAGTGAAGCAAGACAAACTCTGAAATAGTTGTAAGAATCAACCAAGTACAGCACAAGGAACAAGATCCTGATGTTAGGCCAATCAATATGTTTACATAGCGATATCCCCAAGTCAATGTTATTGGTGAGTAACTAACTTCACAGCTGCCAACTTTGTGGACTGCACCAATCATCATTTCTCATTAGGTGTATGGTGTATGATGTAGTCAAGGATAGCTAGAAGTGTATTCCTCTGATTTACTTTAGCACTCAGCTTTCAGCTAATGGGTTTGAAGTTCAAAGACCACACCATCCACTTCGTCTTGAGAAAACATGTAGAACATATCCCTACCTCTGATTATGGGCGCAAACAGACGCGCCATACAGATTTTATCCTCATATTTTGTGCGAGAGCTAGCATGCCGCCCGTATGTCCAGACCAAAGTAGGTGACTGCTTTAAGGGACAACTCTCTCACCAATGCTTTTGACTTGGAGTTTCATTCACAAGTCAGTGAGCGACGTCAAGCACTATGTTCTGGTGTTTTCCAGTGACCAAAACAGGTTCTTAGGGCGCTGTAGGCTTGGAATCAAAGATGTGAAGCTCCCATGGGTAGACCAGTATATCGGTTGTGAGCGTCAGTTACTTGTGCTCTCACACAGCGCGTGAGTGAAATGAATAGGAATTACCTGGAGAGGGAAATGAACGCGCGGCCAAATGACAGAACTTCAAGAGGAAGACAGAAGTGAACCCCATCCCTTCGGTTGTATCAGATCGTTTGTGGGAGCTTAAAGTCGCCCATAAATGTTACATGATTTCTGGAATGGTATTTAAGCAAACAGTATTATGCAACCGAATTCATAGTCCAACAGCCTAACAGATAACCATATGACTGTGACATTTAAAGTGGTGAGTTGGAGATTCACTGAGGAACATCAAAATCTACAGTAAGATGTAAGTCGAATCTGCGGACGCATGAAAAATAGTATGAGATGAACATAGTTGCATAGCTATTCATGTCATTAATACTTAGGCGATAATTGATCTTTCCAAGTGGCAACTGGATTTCAAATTTCATCAGGAACTGATTGATATCATATGGAGAACTGGTTAAAACTGAGGAGTACTGGAAAGCTATTTCGTTCTGGTTCGAGACTCTTCAACAGCATGCATTAGAGATCAAACCCAGGACCTTAAGATTATAAGGTCAGCTCGCTAAACATTCAGCTACTAGGATGAAATGTTGTAGGCTGCGAATTTTATTTGAGGGCAAATACTCGTCTATAGCATAGTCTTGCAGTTGCTCTATGTATCGTGGGTTGACAGCAGTTAGAATTCACGGGTTATTAAATTCAGTCCTTGGTAGGGAGGATATCACAAGTGAGTGATGTTCAGGAGTCCTGAACAAGGACGCGACAACAGTGTTCCAATACTACTCCATGGTTTCAAATGGTTCTCTAACTGATATTTCTGAGTTTCTGAACAAATTTAAGATCGATAATTGATGATTCAAGCTGTACGATCGTATGTATACATGGTTTTTAAGAAATTATATCCGGTGAGGGAATTAGGTCAAAGGTGTGAATACATGAAATAATAATAATATTAGTATGAAATGCAATTAAAATATCTGTAATTATAATCATAGTTTAATGTCAAGTGGCAAAGCAAATTAATGTCATATATAAAATAATACATAAGGTGTATAGATTTTGGAAAGATGTACATAATTATAAGATTAGTAGACGAATATAAAATCAGTCAGTAAGACGTTCTTTGCAGCAAAATTACATATGACGTTCACTAGCCCCAGGCTGCTCTCTACATCTATAAAAGATAACCCCCCCCCCCGCCCCCGGTCTGGCAGCCTCCATGTGCATCTACCAGTTCACCTGCTCTTGTGGAGCAACGTATATTGGCTGTAGTCAGAGGACGCTTTCCACACGGATACGAGGACATATTCCAGCTTGGTTTTATAAGGGAGAAGGAAAGTGTGTGAGAAGCTCTATTTTGGAACGCCTGATCGACTTCTGTCACTCGGTCAATCCTGACCATGATTTCAAGATCATATATGGAATCTATGCTAACATGCTGCGTTTTCTTCGTTACAAACTTCTAAAGACAGCTGAGGCCTTGGCAATTCATGACTTTAAGCCAGACCTTTGTGTACAGAAGAAGTACGTACAATTCCTACTTCTGCCTTGGCCGTAGAGAGATAGACATTTATTTATTTTTGTTTATTTAGTTATTCTATGTACCCTTCACTTATTACTACGATTAATCTTACTGTTATTATCATTATTATTATTATTAAGACTCTCACTCTGAATCTTTTCCACTTGACCCACTTGACATTTTGAACCCAAAATTACTAATTTTTTTATTTTTTGTCTTTACAGTATTGAATTTTATCTTATCTTACTTCACACCATGTTATGTAACATTTTATATTCGTCTGCTAATCTTATAATTATGTACCCCTTTCCAACATCGATACACCTTATGTATTATTCTATATATGACATTGCTTTGCCACTTGACACTAAACCATGATTATAATCACAAATATTTTATGAAGAAAATAAAAGACGGATTCAGCGAAGAAAATTTTCTTTATCGACGAAATCATCTTCAGAGGCTGTTCAGTCGTATTTATACTTAGAAGAATGTATAGTGGTCTATTATTGAATAATAGGGGGTGACATAATTGCTGTAATTAATCATAAGTGGCTTTAGAGGTGAAAATTAAAAGTTGTAAATTACATGGTACTTGACGGAACAAAGATAGAAGTTAGAAAAGGTTAAAATTGCTCTTGAGTGAGAATAAAGTTATTAGAGTGTCAATTTAACAAGTGTAAAGAAGGTGTGAAAATATATGAAATTGATATTAGTGAATTAATTATTAAAGCAAAAGCAAACTAAAAGTAAAATTAAAGATTAAGAAAAAATCAAAAATATTCTTTAACAGGGAAGGATAAGTGAAGAGGTTAAGACCAAGGTAGAATAAGAGACTGGACAAACTTTTTCTGTATACAGAGATCAGGGTTGTATTGATGTATTGCCAGCGCCTCCGCCATACACAAAAGCCGGAACCTGACGCCTTTTGTACAATTTGGCTTCACTTTGTAGATGATGTTGAAAGACGACTCTGGTGGAGCTACGTGGCCTTGCATTTCATACTACTATTATTATTATTATTATTTCATGTATTCACACCTTTGACCTAATTCCCTCACCGGATATAATTTCTTTGAAAAAAACCATATGTACATATACGATTGTACAGCTTGATAAAAAATTCGTTGTTGATGAAAAGAGTCTCTTCGCTGAATGTATTGTGTTCTTAATGCTACATTAGGAATTATTAAGTAATTGATGATTCAACAAAGATGACTGAATAAAAATGTCCAAAAAAAAAACGAAGAAGAGAAAAAATTGGAATAAAAATATTACCTGAACCATTTCAGACGGTGATGCTTTAAACAGCTCGACATATCTGTCGCCCAGGTAGTCTTTATGACGTCCCAATGCTTTTGTAGCTGTAGAATCATTGTTGAATAATACAAATGCATCACCAGTTGGACGTCGATCAGGATAAGCAACCAAATAGACGCCTTCTTCTTCAAGCATAACTGATACTTGAACAGGTTTGAAAAATTCCACCTAAGAGAAATTCATTCGTCAACGCCCACGCACGCACACACACGCCCACACACAAGAAAAAAGAATAAAAGATAGCATTGAAATATGTATGAGACTGTGCAAGTTAAATTGGGCTTTGTGTATATGAGTGTGTGTTGCTGTGTGTGACATAATAGCGTAAGCATATTCAGATGAGTAAGTATGGTATAAATAGATATTTTCTCTGTTCTCATAGAAACACATTCACCAACTACTCACCCACCCACACGCACACTTATAGCAATCATTATCGGTATAGACACCTGTCCAAAGGATGAAACGTATTTACTGATACTAATATGACTACTACTTTGACCACTTTTATTATCATCACCAAAATAGGAAAATTGTTCATCACAGTAATTCTAAGGATTGTGGGTGTAATAAGCACCGTAACAAAATGACCAGCACCATTTATCTGTCTGACAACAACAACAATAACAACAACAGCAACGATGACAAAAATTTAGAAGAGAGAAAAGAAATGAACGAAGAAAAATGTTTCAAGTTAGGTCATGAATTGTTGAAAACAAGCAAGGGATCTTGAAACCGACATCTCTACCAGGGACTGAGTCAGGGATTATTAGGTTACCGTTCGGCTAACGCTTTAGTAGAATTAAAATAGTAGTGTCACTAGTGACTTGGTGACAGATTGACGTTGCCTTAAGTTCTAGTGGGAAGTCAAGATGTACCAGGTCGAGTTAGAGGACATATACTCATCAGGGGGTTGCGTTTTATATATATAAAGATCTTGAATTATTCGAAGTCAGAACTGATTGGCTTTTGAATTCCATTCCAGTGGCCGTATGTTGGATGAGCTTTTCTTGTAATCTGAAGGTTCTGGTGAGGTGATGAATGAGTACTGATAAGGAGTTTCAAAGAGGGATGAAACAGCTGTCCAGTAATTCCTTGTGGCTTTCAGATGTTCTCTAATTGATGGCAGTTAGGTTGTGGTCAAACCTGAAATCCATCGAATCCTTGCAAATCAACACTTGAGAAGAAATATTTACTTTTCAATTAGATTCTCATGATTGGTTCTACTCTAATATGCATGTATATCCTAATTTTAATATAACAATACAGAAATCTACCAATCTGGTGTGGTAATGTTAAGTTTCTTAACAATAATTCATCAGTGTGAGCAAAAAGCCTCAGGATGGTCGGGGGTGGGTGCCTTGCGCTGCGGGTTGGCCACCCCTCCACACACCTCTTGAAATGCTCCCATATGACCGGGCGTCTTACATAGCCTCTCCTGAGGAAGTCCTACTCACTGCCTTCACGTGGAGGAGGTGTTTTTCACCGAAGTGAAAGGGCAAAAGCAGATACCCGGCGCTCTTCACCGGGTTGGCTGTCCATTGGATGACAGTCTAGGGGAGATGGCTAAACCCTGATTCCAAACCTCCAACGACTGGCGTATGAAGCTCACTGGAGCTCACCGGCAGACGTATGGACAAAGGGCTTGTTGGATGTCCTGGATGTCTGGCCCCATTCAAAAAGGCGTATGAACCGAACTCCGGTCACCGGCTTCCAATGGATAGTGGACTCCTTACTCCACTCCTACTGCCTTGTAGGTCACACTTGGTTGTGTAAAGGCTAGAGCTGCACTCTCAAACAAAAGGCCGAGCGATGCTGGGGACATCACTCGTACCAAATTCCCATGAAACTTCATGAACTCTCTTACAAATTGCCGCGCCTGAGCAGTGATGATTCGAGACGTTCATGAAGCCGGCTCATCCTCCCGTAGGAGATAACCGAAGTAAAGCAAAGCAAGCAAGTGTGAGCAAATGAAACAGGGATCGGTTACAGGATTTCATCATAAGCTGACATTGGTTAGAGAACCATTGGAAAACTTGCAGGGAGTACTGGACAGCTGTTTCGTCAACCCAGTTTGGGACTCTTCAGAAGTACGCACCCACCGGGTTTCGAACCCAGGACTTCTGGTTACAAGGCGAGCTCATAGATCGTTGAGCCCCCAGAACCCAATCCAATGGCCAGGAAGCCCATAAATTCCAACTTCTGCCAGTTCACGGTGTAGCACGACCACCAGCCAGTGTCTTCGGCGAGTATTTGTCCTCACATCCAACCTGCTTTACCCAACTGGTCAAGTTAGTATGACAACAGCTCCAACCAAGCCACTTTTCATAAAACTGCAATACGCTGACCGAATATTAACCGAGTGACAAAATTATTAATAATATTATTCCTTTGGGTTCCGAGTAGAGCATACGGCTTCAACAACACATTTCCAATTTGTTCTATTTTCTGCTGTCCTCTTCAGATGGCTAGCTTTACGACTGCCTATAATCTCTCATCTCATCCCCTCCAACCCACGATGTCCACCATATCATCCTCACACCAGTGAACCACTCCTAGCTTCCTATTGATATTCCACTGAAGCGATGGTCTATCTGACTCGTGATGACATTCGACGACCTCCTCAATGTATGCCCGATTCATCTCCATTTTCTCCTGGTTTACTAACTCGCTAGTTTTCTAGCCGGCTAAAGATGAGGTGAGGGTTCGGTGTGGCGCTAGCGACTCCACCTCACAAAACCAATCAAACTGCTACAGAAAATTCAACGTACAAGAAAAATGTTTCTAAATTACTCCCATTATTTTTCCATCATTATGCATTATGCAATCTGTAAGTTTAATTTTTCATAAATATTACAACCTTTTAATCGTTGTACTAATTTTCTTGGTTATTCACCAACCCCCCCCCCCCGCCTGGCATTTCCTTTGCGTTCCTAGACTGGAACACACGGCTTTAAGCTTTAGATATGAAGATTCAGTAGTGCTGGCGGGGTATTGTATTTTACGCAGTAAAGTTGCTAACCTCATACTCAGCATTCCTTTTTTTCTTCCGCCTACTCTCGGTTAGGTGAGGACGGGAATTCAACTGTGGACCATGTGAGTGGTTGGCGAACATTCTAACATCACCGAACTATTGAAGCATTCTTGACGTGTTGATATTGACTAATTTATTGCTAGAACAAAATGAATCATCAGCAGATTATATTGGCAAACTTCCGATTTGATATTTCGAAATTGCTATAAATGTGTATATGTGTATTAGAGTAAAGACTTTGAAGTGGATTTAATTGAGAAAGCAAAAATTTCATCATCAACTGACATCGATTAGAGGATCATTGGAGACCGTCTGGGAGTACTGGACAGTTGTTTCATCCTATTTTTGGAACTCTTCATCACTACGCACCCACCCCAACTGCTCTCGAACCCAGGACCTTCTGGTTTCAAGGCAAGCTCGTAGAACATTAAGATCCGCCCTATTCAGGTAGGCAGTTTTTTTTTTTTTTTTTTTGATTTACAGCTTGATTCCACACTGTATTTTTGGTACAAGTATGGAATTTTCAGCATGGATATCGGTAGCCCAAATTTTGCAGGCCGACCATAGATATCAAGTGTGCGTCGGCGTGGGCTCGAACCCCGGACCATGTGTATGGTCGGCGAGAGTCCTAACCACTGTGCCACCGACGCAGGTTCTGCTGGGAAGTCATGACCAGTAGGGTGCAGCAGGTCAGATATGAGGATTAATACTCTCCTCAGATGACATTGGTTTGTGGTCGTGTTACATCGTGAATTGGTTGGCAGAAATAGGAATTAATTGGGTGCCTGGCCACTGGATCCGGTCCCAGTGGCTTAATGGTCTACGAGCTCTCTGGCCGTACAATCAGAAGGTCCTGAGTTTGAACGCCACAGTGTGGATGCGTACTGATGAAGATTGCCAAACAACGGGGAAGAAAAAGCTATCCAGTACTCCCTGCAAGTTTTCCAGTGGTCCTCTAACCGATGTCAGCTCATAATAAAATCCTGAAACCAATCAAATCCTTGCTGCAAACCAACACTTGAAAAGTAAATATTTTTTTCTGAAGCGTCAATTTGCAGGAATTCCAATGATTTCAGGTTTGACCACAAAATAACTGACAGAAGTTGGAGAATCATTGGGAACAACAGAGGAGTACTAGATATGTAACTACAGATAGTATACTGAGAAAATCAACGGATATTTCTAGATTTTACCTACATTATTATTCGTTACTGTTAGCAGAGAAGCAACGTCTTCTGATTGGTTGTTTTCTTGTTGAATGTCATTCTGTCATCTCTTTGAGGCCGTTTCTTAGATAGTTAAGCCATATATATGCGAATTCTATTTGTACACCTTAAGTTTACTGTGATTGGTTGGTGATTTTCTCAAGGTTAAGCCTTGTTATTGTTAAGCTTTCTCATGACCCCGATTCAGGACGTAAAAACACAGACGTAAATTGTTGTCTGCAGTTTTGGCTAGCAGACAGCTCTCACTACAGATAGTTGCACCTTCCTGTTCTGGAATTCTTTATCAATACGGACTCAAGGAATAGCCGGGGATAAAATCCAGCCTTTAGGATGACATCCAACAGACCATCAGTTCTTACTTCTACCAAATTCCTTATATATATATATATATATATATATATATATATGGCACGACGGCCAGCCACTATTATCGTCGATTATCTGTCTTCATACCTCTAACTTGATGGACCCCACTGATTACAACTCTCCACCAGAACTTTATACAACTTTATCCTATCATCATGTCACTAGTGAGCACAAAAATTAGCTTCCGTGTATTGGTTGAATGGTTAACGAGCTTGACCACTAGGGTGGGCTGCCTCACAAAGATTAAGTAGCGACTGGTCATGATGCCCTGCTTATTTGTCAGTGGTTTGTGGTCCTAACTGAAGTAGTCCTTTGCTCAATCATTTTTCTCTTCTGAACTCATAGAACTGTATCTGTACTTTTTAGAACTCTTATCTTCACCAAACACGTATTTGTTGTGTGTGTGTATGTGTGTGTGTATACTGAAATACACCGAAACGCAAACCACAGAAAAAAGAAGCAATGAAAAATAAGTAGGTAGGCAGGTAGGTGGATAGATAGATAGATAGATAGTCACGAAACACCATCCTTAAATGAGTGAAACACCAAACCAGAGGAAAATGCATTACATAAATAGCTTTCTATGACTTAATTGTACTTTTTGTCCTGTTACACCGTTTATTTTTGAATTGTCTACAGAAAATCAGATTTATAAGCAAACAAAATCAAATTGTTATGGTAACAAGGTGATGGAACAAATTAACAGCACAAGAAAATATGAACAACTATGCTTGATAAGACTATAGTAGTAGTAATAATAATAATAACAGTAATAATAATGATCATAATAATGAATGACCAGATGTATACAATGAACACGACAAACACCCGAAACAGACAAGAGTCCACGACAAGAATATTTCTAACTGAAATGACTTTCAAGTGAGTAAAATAATAGCACACATTATACTAATTCATATAGACAAACCTAATTTTTCTACAAGTCATTTTTACATGTCTGTCTGTACTTCACTCATCCCACTTATGACCTTGAAATTCTATTGGCTGTTTTGATTAATCAATGTCAATTGCGCTTCTCAAGGTCATTTTGGGATATATATATATACAAGCACTGTTGATACGAGACATTAAAAGCTCCCCACATCAACAGTCAGACTTTTCTTCTCGTCTTCGTGCATCGCGTTGTTGTTGTTGTTGCTAACAGTGGAGAAGTTCGGTGAGGGATATGGCTGGCCAGACAATCGACAGTGGAACTCGAAGAGGAAATAACGAGTTTAGAGTCACTTCGAGTGTGAGATAAAGGTGATCGTGGAAAAAGGGGTCGGAGGATAACAGGCTATCATGGAGTCCACTGAAGAGGACCACAAAGAATAGGATGAAATCCAATTGTGCTGCTGAAGGTCTATTTTCCACTCAAAACTTGGGAGAATACTAAGTAATCATAACAGTTTAATTTAATTTTAGATTTTCCCTTCGACTGATTGGACCAAAGTGCTTGGTGTCAGGTTGACCCGTCGCACAAGAGGCAGTAGCTCTCGTGGCCCAAATGGTCTAGTGGATAACGCTTTAGCGTTTGAAACTATAGACACTGGATTTAGGCCTTGATGGGAAGAGACCGCCTCTCAATGGGGAATGCAGGCACATCCAGACACCAACGAGTCCCAAATAGGACGAAATGCGCGTTAACCTGGATTCCACTGCTAGTCACCATACACCAATTAATGATAATATTATTTAAATTTCGCACTCTATCCAATTGTTCCTTCCTGAAATATAATTTCATACTTTTTGCTATCAAATGATAATAACAGTTGACTTTAATAACCACTCCCATAACCTTTCAGTACACTATATCCCAAAAACAATATTCTTTTTTCGCGTAAATCTGTATACTACTGACTAATTGAGATGAGTAGTTGTATACTCCTCATATCAACAACCAGTAGTGTTTGCTGTCTAGCTATATTGAAGTGATCTAATTACCAAACGGTGGTTTTGCTTGTTATTTGGCGCCAAGTTCATCAGCGGTGTAGCGGGCATTCAACTTAGCTCAAAGAATCACCTCTTAGAACTGTACGAATTGCAAATTATTAGTTAATTTGCAAAGTGTATCGATTTGATTTACTAATCGATCAGTCATGTTATGTAAGTGTAATCACCAGGGTAGATAACTCGTCATTTTTTATGGAACTAAGAAAATGAGGCAAGAGTCGATCACAACTACACAGGTAAACACAAGTGAATCCGAAAGAAGAAATTGAAATGAAAGTTAGAGAAAGGGGAAGTGAAATGAACTCACACATCCACCCACTCACCCAACCACCCACACACACACACACACACACAAGGAATCACCTACAAGGAATATGCATTTTCTTTTGAATATAATTAAGTGGGTTGCATGCAGGTTATCCTATAACATACATGTATAAATAAAGTAGTCAAGTAAATCTTCGATCTCACCATCAAACTCATAAAAAATAAACTCATAAATGTAATACACATCACTGTCTAAGAAAGTCGGTTACGTAATACATACACGAAAATGAAGAAAAAACACAACAAACATAACAAAGACACAATTCGCCACCAATTTCTTTTAGTGATTTACATTACATTTATATAATGGATTCGTGCATGTTGTGGAGGGGGGCGTAGGGATGAGGCGTGGAATGCGCTGTTGTTTGCACATAACAGTATAACTGTCTAACCGATGTTAGTTAGCGCTGCTGAAAAATGCAAGAGATAGTACAGAAGAATAAGCCGAAACATACCTATGCACGTAGGAGTAATAATATAATAGAATAATAACAATTACGAAATTGCTTTCATTATGAAAAAACTGATCAGTAGAGTATGCGTCGATAGTTCAGAGATAACATGTTGACCAATCAGGCAGGGGAGCGGGGATTCAATTCTCAGATGACAAACTCTGATACCTAGCCCAGGTGATAGTGAGCTCGGTAAAGAGAAACGTTTAGGCAGAGTGAGGCTGCTAACTCCACTCTTCAAAGTCAACACCAGCCCAACCGAAGCCCCAAAACCTGGAAGCTCCTCTATATTCCACTCAAAATGCAAAGAAATGAAAAAAATAATTAACTGAGTAGTGTTTGAGTGCTAAGTGTGATAGAAGCCATAGTAATATATGTGTAAGATTTGGGCACTTTGGCAGTGTGTAATTCCATATTAGTTTATTTATTAGATATACCACTCACAGTGAGGGAATCAGTATTATTATTTACTGGGTGACACAGTTTCAAACATAACTCATTATTGTTCATAATCATATCATCGATTATGATCACAGGACTTCGAAACTTGAGTTTTATGGTTTTCTTTGTTCTCTCCTATTTGGTGTCGTTGGGGTAGTAGGATTTTCCAGATGTCTTGGTGGACAGGTGTTGAATCATTCCTATTACGCATGTTCTCAGTTGATTCGATAAACAAAGCTTGCGTTATCAATCTCTCCGTCCACCCTGTTACTATTATATTATCACTATCACTACTATCATTATTTGATAATAGTAATAATAATAATAGTAATATTAATGACGACATGTGTGTCAAACATGAGCAAGATAATGACAGCACCAACAATAGGGAATCTAAATCATCAATACTACTTCCATACAAAGAAGGAATCTCGGAAACCTTACGTGGAATTCTTAACAATACAGGCAGGAATAAAAGTGACCGGCATTCAAACCAGCCACAAACTCAATTAGAAACAAACTTTGTCGGTTAAACGTTGGATCCTGTGAAGCCTTTAAAACAAAACAATTTAGTTTATCTAATACCCTGCCTGCGATGATTGTCAGGTGAAATACATAGGTCAAAGTAGTAGAACAGGGTCAGTTAGTCAGACTAGCCGAACATAAAAACCCAGCAGCAAAATCAAGATTGGTTGACCCGAATAAGATAAGAAATCTAGAGAATAGTTCAGCTATGGCACTCAATACAGGCAACTACACACAACCATACAGTAAGATGGATGGGATAAGATGACAGTTTTAAGAGCTAATGTTACAGGGTGGGAGGAGAGATTGATAACAGAAGCTTTGTTTATCGAATCAACTGCAAATACATGCAGTAGGAATGATTTAACACCTGTCCAGTCAGATATCTGGAAAATTCTACTACCCTAACGACGACAAACAGGAGAGGACAAAGAAAACCATAAAACTCAAGTTTCGAAGTCGTGTGATTATAATTGAAGATATGATTATGAACAATAATGAATTGTGTTCGAAACTGTGTCATCCAGTAAATAATAATACTGTTTCACCCACTGTGGGTGATATACCTAATAAACAAACTAATATGGAAGTCATAAAAGTCAATGGGCTGAAAGATATGCATCGGAGTTCGACTCCCCACTAGCTAGATAGCTGAAAAATAGAGGGATTATATGTGAGGTTATTAATCTCTACCCTCGTAAAAGATAAAATACTGCCACTGCTGAAACTCCAGAAAAAAAGGGTTCAAACCCTATGTCCCATTCGAAACGCAAAAAAGAGTAAAATAGCTGGTTAGAACTTGGAGAATACTGAACTTTCAACATGCTTCAATCTATACCAGAGTTTCTTATGTTCATTTAGCAGGTGTTTGAACCATAGACCACAAACAGTCTCGGGATGAATTCCAGCTGAGCAATATACCGATGAGTTACATTAAATGCAGTAAAAAAAAACTCTGTGAATACACAACTTGTTATAAAGGCTACGAAATGATTAGGCATTTCTTAGAGTTCATTTCTGTATCTTTGATTATTTCTCACCTCTCTATTTACCGTATAGTATGGGCTGTTGAAACACTGAAACACTGTTGAAAATTTAATCTGATGCCCACTAGTAGCCGGCTGCAGAACAAAGTTGACTAGGGTTCTAGTGAGAACACTTGATCACTGGCGTCCATTCGGTCGGCAATATGGACAGATGACACTGGCTGGTACCAGTCACGATAAAGTCACCAACTGATAGAAGTTAGAATTCATGGACTGGCCATTGGGTCAGGTCCTAATGTCTGAATGGCTGGTTTATGGAAGGTCTTGGGTCCGAAACCCTCAAGTGCTGGTTGTCCAGTGCTCTCTGGTGGTTTTCACTGGTTCTCTAAGTGATTTCAATCCGTGATCCAACTTCAAATGATTTTTATTCCTCCCTGGGATTGCACGCTTTCCAAATTACCAGAAGAAGCGATACACGCTCTCCATGAACAGATGTCTCAAAAATACACACACACACACACACACGCGCACAGACTATACACACACACACAAACAGACTATATGGAGGAGGGGGAATTGGCAGGCAGTTATTTAAATTTTATGTTTCAAACTTACAATCTGTTTTTTAGTTGTTGTATACGGTAGACCACGTATGCGTACAACAACTTGTTCTCCATTGGTCAGTTGATTTAAAAAGTTTGTTACACATTCTTGATCACCTAGAGAATTAACAAAAAAATATAAAGGGATATATTTGAGAGAAGCAGAAATTTGAAAAATCATAGTAATTAAAGAATTCTTAAGCATGGTGAAGCCTGCTGATTCTGTCTACTTATTCTCCCCGGGGGGGGGGGGGAGATCATAATATGAACTTATTAGGGGTAAACCCTTGTCCACGGATATAAATTGAACATTAGAATCTCCTAGAAGATTGGGAATACTCTTATCTTACTGATAAGTGACTTTTGGCTCATCTTTATTCTTTTCATTATGAATGTACCATAAGACTTCAAGTATCTTTGGAGTTTCTACAGTGGTTAGGTTGTTAGCCTCACACCTAACCCCTCTATGTTTTCATGAATTACTGTCGGCTAGTAAGCACTGGGTGACGTGTGGTTACTCTGTCAGATGGGAATTGAGCTGCGGACCATATGCTTGACTGGCGGGTATCCTCCTGCTAAACTGTCGACACCACTATAAGCAATAAATCTAATGTCTACGCGTGACTTTATGTTGTCTGATGTCTTATGCCTTAACCAGATGTTTTATGGAAGATAATTATTTAAATTCCCAAATAAATTTTTAACGTTGTACATTATCTTACAATTTAAATACCTCAATATATTCTTGCTGCATATGTGGCAAATTGGTAGAATGCTCACCAACCATGCAGGTGGTCCAGCGATCGATCTCCGGCCAATAGACGCACTCCTTTACCTCACTAACACGGTAATAAGACTGGTTAAGAGGGAAGGTTGGGTATGAGGTGGCTAGCAACCTCATCCCGTAAAAAATTAAAACACCACTGCTATCGAAACTTCAAGCCTGTAGCTTGAAGCTCTATGTTCCACTGGGAACGTAAAGGATTAAAAAATTAGAGGTGAATTGATGGACGGTGACTAGCAGTGGAATCCAGATTAACGTGCATTTCGTCCTATTTGTGGTTCATTGGTGTATGGATGTGCCTGCCTTCTGCAGTGTGTGATAATGGTGTTCCCACCTAGTTGCGATCTACCAGTTAACCTCTAATTACATGCCCAGATATCGTCGAAGCATCTGCATAAGAAGCCGACAGACATGTCAACCTGAGACCGAGCACTTCGGTCCAATCAATCGACGGGAAAATTTAAAATTCAGTTGAATAATAAATTTGGCGCCTTGCACAAGAGGCGGCTCTTGTGGCCCAAGTGATCTAGTGGATAACACTCAAGCGATTGAAACTATGGGTACTGGGTTCGAGCCTCGGTGGAAACACCATCTATCACTGGGGAATGCGGGTACATCTAGCCACAAACGAGTCTCAAATGGGACGAAATGCGCGTTAATCTGGATTCCACTGCTAGTCACCACCCACCAATTAACCTCGATCAATAATTCCCCACTGTTTGTAGTTGTCTTTAGAAATCCCCCTTCTTCTCTTGTTCTGAGATGTTTGTAGACGCATAGCACTGAATGATTGTAACATTCCTTCCTTTTGAGTTGAACCTGGCTGTCATTATCCTGGAGGAGATTGGTTTCCACTGCATGAGAGCTTCGGCTGCTGTTGGTGACATCATAATGGCCACTCCCTCGGTGTGCTCGTGATTGTCCTCTGGTTGACCGGAATAGATTACTGTCTCTCCAGTTGGTGGTTGTCACCTTCCACATGCGTTCCATCTGCTCTCACAGATTCGCAACACTTCTATTCTATATCTTCTCATTTCAGCGGCTAGCTGGGGAGCCTTTCCAGCTTCGTACATTGTACGAACTTTCCAGGTACCCATCCTTACTTTTTCTTTCATCGAAAGAAGGCACATCGGCTGACTGTCTTCCCGAAGGCTTTCACCAGCCTGCGTCATTTCACTTCCCCGATTCCATCTAAAAATAAGGTTACTGTTTAAATTTTTAGTATTTTTAATATATTCGTGCGCTGAAGTTTCTGTAGCGATTTGGTTAAGTTTTGGGGGTGGAGGTGCTAGCACCACACCGAAAACCTCCCTCTTTATCCGAGAGCATTGTCTCAACTACAGGAAGTCGGAACGGACGAGGATGTCAAATCGAGCGAGAATCGGGAAGGCAGGCGAGAAACACATTCACTCATCAACCTGAAACCAATCTGGAAATCTTCGTCACTCAGCCAGCATCAACAACAAAATTCGGCAGGATTTTCAATACAAACACGTCATGTCAGTCAGTTCTTCTATACGGATCAGAAACTTGGCGGGTGGGTCACAAAGAATATTTCCAACAGCCAGTTGCAGACCTTTATCAACCAACAACTGTCTTCGCTGGCTCTATACTGAATATCAATCAGATGGCCGAGCCGGAAAGAATCACCAACTATCGGAAACTATGGGAACAAACAAACAAAACAAGAACCAATCGCCCAACAAAAATGCGAAAGGAGAAAGTGGAGATGGATTGGACACTCGTGACTGAGAAGGCCACTGGGTGACATCGAGCGCGCGTCAGGCCATTGGTCGAGTAGAACCAGGCTGAAAGGGAAGCGGTGCCATGGAGGAGATGGTGTGAAGATGAGTTCAAACACTATGGACTAACTAACAAGGATTCAGGTGAAAAGTACAGCAGGAGGAAGACCGAAGTGGTAAGTGGAGGTGTGCAGCTGAAGCCCTTTGTTCCACTAGGAACCCAAGGGAACAATAAAAAATAATTGCCTACAAATTAACACCTGAAAATATTACTTACAGCCAGTACATTGAACAAATTCCCTTCCAGTAGCTGGATGAATTTGCAGATAGACTGGTTTTGTGTTCGTACTTGTAGTAGTCTGTTGCTGTTGCTGTAGTTGTGCGCTATCCGTTGAGCATTCACTTCGATTAATATAATTATAATTACAAGCACCAATGTTGTTATTATTATTATTATTCGCAATATGATTGGTCAACAATGGTAGACTATTTACATCTGTTGTACTATTTACATGCTCTCCAATCAATGAACCACACAATTGATGTTGATTTCTAGCCAGTGCAAGTTGAGCATTCATTGCATCAGCGAATGCTACAATAGCTGTATTACTACGTCGGCCATCGGTTAAACGAATAGCTACACCACCAGGATAAACATTAAGACCAGCAAAATAATGAGCTATTGTAGCTGGGGTTGCAGTCCATGGAACTTGACGAATTTCAACCACCTGACTGTCGTCTATTTTCAGTTTTCGTGAACTAAAAAGTGAGAGAAAAGAAAAATGAATGAATTAAGCATTTAACAAAATATATTTTCTGTAGTAATACATACCTGACATGTTTAGCTTTGTGAGCATATGTGATGATTCTGTTTACGTTGTGAGTACACTAAGTAGGACTTTAAGGGTCGTCCTTTGAAATTTCAGTAGCAGTGAGGTTTGTTATACGGGGTGTAGCTCAGTCCTCTCTCTTTTCCATGTCTGACTATCAGCTTTTACCTCCATAAATGATCTGGTACAGACCGAGGGTGGGCAGACTTGAGTACTCCACTCGGAAGGCCGTCATCTGGACATGCACTTGGCGTTCACAACCTCACCAATGGATATTTAAGACTACCTAGAGGAGTCGGAAACTCCTGATTTCAACCATAGGTCCCGGTTTCCTAAGTGGTCGACTGGGGGTGTCTCTGAATACGAACTATACCATCTACTCACTCCACTTAAATTTTATATCATATTTCGGAAACTACTTAAATTGCATTTGAGTAAAACATGATAATTTCAAAAAAGTGGTGAGTGCGGTAAGATTGCTTAAGTGCAGGGAAATAGTATTTAGGCTTAATGACATTATTATTATTATATCCTTTAGTTCCTAGAGGAATATAGGGCTTCGGCCGCACGTCTCCATTGCCTTCGGTTTCCTACCAACTTTTTCACCCCGCTCCAAGTCTGCCAACATGCTTTCATCTCCCCTTCACATGACCGCCTCCAAGTCACCCTTGCAGCGACGACCAACTCACCGCCTCCCATTCAGTCAGGTTCAACTCGAGGGCTTGTCTAGTGATGTCACTTGATGGTTTCCTCAGAGTATGGTCAGCCAATCCATCTCCATTTCTTCCTGCCTATTTGTTTCACAATCAGTTCCTGGTTGGTTCGCTCCCAGAGATCTTTGTTGCTGATGCTTTCTGGCCACCCACCTGATCTTGGGTAGTATTGAGCGAAGACAACTGTTAGTGAAGGTCTGAAGTTTGTCTGAGGTGCTCTTTATGACGCGCTAAGTCTCTGATCCGTATAGTAGCACTGACTGATTTCACATTAGAGTTGAAAATCCGGATCCACACAGACTTGAGGGTAATGATAGTTTGTCTTGCTTTTCCGATTCTGGCTTTGATATTCTCGTCAGTCCCGTCGGCCTGTAGTTGAAACGATGCTTCCCAGGTGGGGTAGGTGAAGGAGGTTGTTTCTTTCAGGTCCCTCTCATTAATGCTGATTGTTGTCTGTTGTTGTTGTTGCTGTTGGTGTTGGGCAAGAATCTTCATCACATCTGTTTTATCCATGTTTACCTGAAGTTTGTCCAGTCCGTATAAACGCATATGACTTTTAGCCATAAGTAGTTCACATCGGGTTTGTCCAATCAGTGGGTGTTATTTTTTGTGGACAATGTAATTACTGCATCTTCCCGTCTTAAACTATTAATCATCAGGGTTTATTACAACAACGATTTAAAACAGTCAATAAATATTAAGAATAAAAAACCTAGTGAATTAACAGAGTTCTAGTTGTCACCTTCAAATGGACGCTTTGCCTACTTCGTTATATGCAACATGCCGTAATGACGGCGGGGGGGGGTACAAGGGTATATTATGGTACTGAATGACATTGAACCCAGTGAATCCTGAGTTCGAATCTCATTTCATCTACTTCAGCCTGAACAGAATAAGTGTGGCTTAAAGTCTAGGGCATGAAAGACATGTTTAGAGAATCTGGTTTCAAAACAAAGCTGAATGGTTACAGGATTTCATCATGAGCTGACATCAACTGGAGAACGAGCTAGGAGTACTGGACAGTTGTTTCGCCAGCCTATTATGCGACTTTTCATCAGTACGCACCACCACCATGTTTTGAACCCGGGACTTTCTGGTTACAAGGCGAGCTCGTAGACCATTTAACCACTGGGACCCATCCAATGGTTAGCCGATGAATTCCAACTCCTGCTAGCTCACGATATAGTGTGACCACTTGTCAGTGTTTCTGATGAGTGACTGTTCTCACACCCGACTTATTGTACCCCAAAGGGTCCCGACTTCTCACTAGAGCTCAGGTAACTTGTAAGTGGCCCTATTCACGAAGGTAGGTGATTGACCTTTATTTTAAAGGTTTGAACCAGAGTCATAAAAACAGTGAATAATCATGCTTCAAATGCAAGTGGATAAATATTCATGAAGATATGAAGTGTAACTAGAAAATTAAGCACTTCGGCAGTGTACGCCTCCTAATTAGGCAACCACACAACACTCAGTGATGAAGCTTTGTTCAATGGAGGATATTTCAAGGATAATTTCTACCTGCAAATAAACCTACTTAATATGAATGAAAGTCAAAATCATATGTACTGGAGCACCAGCAAAAAACTACAGTGGAATTAAAATATTGATAACAAAAATAACAAAAAATTAATAAATATATTTGTGTAATAATTTATACTACTGATTAACGGATATGAGTAGTTGAAAACTATTCACGTCAGATATCAGTACTTCAAACATCTCACGAGCGTTTCTCATGTTTGACACCAAGCTCATCATCGGTGTACTAGGTTAAAAAAAACTCGAATCCTTTCTAACTGCAAGAATTAAAAACCTGTTGAACTTCAAGATAAACCTGTAGATAGTGAGAAACACATGACGGTTAACTGACACCTGCAATATTCCTCTGTGAGCAGTTATGTTGTATCAGTTGACTTAGAGAGTGGCGGTTAACAGTGAGATTCAGGTGAATTTCGTCCCATTTGGGACTCGTCACTATCATCTGCCCGCTTTCTAGTGAGTAATGCTGTTCTCATAGCCATCAATAATATAAAGTTGTCAAATGATGTGAACAATAAGATCCTATGCTCTCAAATAATGTACAATCGATGAATAAATTTAGGTGTTGGTTTGTAGGGATTTGATTGGTTTCAGGATTTCATCATGAGCTGACATTAGTTAGAGAACCATTGGAAAACCTGGGAGTACTGGACAGCTGTTTCGTCCTAGTTTGGGACTCTAATGTCAGCTAATGATGAAATCCTGAAACCAATCAAATCCCTACAAACCAACACTTGAATACCAATGAGATGCTCACTGGCGACTGGCCCTATTCAGGTAGGTAGTTACCTGGGTTCCAGTGGGAAGTCATGACCAGTAGGGTGCAGCTGGTCGGGTGTGAGGACAAATACTCGCCGAAGACATTGGCTAGTGGTCGCGCTATGTCGTGAATTGGCAGAAGTTAGAATTCGTGGGCCATTGGATCGGGTCCCAGTGGCTTAATGGTATACGAGCTAGCTCGCCTTGTAACCGGAAGGTCCTGGGTTCGAATCCCGGTGGGTGCGTACTGCTGAAGAGTCCCAAACTAGGACGAAACAGCTGTCCAGTACTCCCAGGTTTTCCAATGGTTCTCTAACTAATGTCAGCTCATGATGAAATCCGGAATAAATTTAGATCAGTAAATGTTACATCATACATTTTCCAATAACTTGCTAGTAATAGCACCTTAGTAACCGTACATATATAAGCAGAAACATGAAAACAGTATTCATACATCGATATATATATTCAAAAACTATAATAAACGCAAAAACTTACAATGTTTTATGCTCATAGTTGTAACGTACAAACTCAGGATCTTTCACTCGATAACCTATAAATGTAGGAAAGTTTGGAAAATTAAACTATCAAGATCCACAAAACAACACATTAAGGAATTATATTATGTTGTGTCCTGCAGTGATCAGAAAAGTAGAGGACTAATGAAGTAACCGTTTACTCATCATGACCATGTTTGTCTCCGAAGGGAGTGACGCAAGAATATATCGCACTGATCGAGGCATTCTACTCGAGCCGATGGAGAGTTGTCATCTGAAGTGGTGACAACCAGCGGCGTCCATATAGGATGCCGCCAACCAGCGTCATCTCTGATTTAGTAAACGTGATATCCGGCCGCCTGTCGACCAATATACGTGTGTACTGCTCAGCATTTCACCCTCTTCCCCTTTATGTCTGGCTGTAAGACATGCTGGCCATTGAAATTGGAAGATACGAAAAGGGCGGCTATCTGTCTTTGATTATAGGTGTCCGCGTTCTATCCCCCGTGTTGTGAGCAGCGTTGAGGCTAGGCATTGGTCAAGTGAGATGGAGGGGAAATCAATCAGTGAGATTGTGAAGTTACACAGATTGAGATGGTTAAGACATGTGTCCTGCATGCCTGTCCGTCGTCTAGAAAGGCGATGGACAATGTTAGCTGACTGACATGGGATAGGTAAGGTTGGAAAAGAGCTAATGGTGTTGGTGGTGGTCAAATCAAAACATGGCTTCATCAATCAACGGAATCCACAACAGTTAGTTTAAGCCAGCCAGCCAGCCAGTCACGTAGGAAGGTGTAGACTTCCTGCCCACCTGGTCGAAGTCCTCGGGATGGTAAGAACCAATGAAGGCTAGAGACAATTGACGATATGGCTAGCTGATGGCTAGCTCAGACTAATTCACTCATTGTGATTTATAATATCCAATAACATTTTATTTTTCTTCTATATTACTATTCCTTCTGCCTCACATTTCTGTTTATTACCTCTTTCTCTGTTTACTCTCTTCTCTTGATTTGTGTGCTACATTGATTGAATTGTGGCAACTGGAACTGGTTACATCTGTGCAAAGTTCTACGCTGAAACCAATCAGTCAGTCTGTCAGACTAACTAGTGAACTCATTATCAGTAAATTTACTAATGTTCTTAAATGAAAGAAACTAGTCATAGGGAGGTTTCTTAGATTTTCTCGTACAATGTACCTTAATTGTGAGATATAATGCTTACCTGTGAAGTATATTATGTCTCCCATGTCTTTCTTAGTCAGAACTCTAAAGTGCATTGTGAAGGATACAAACTCTTGGGCTTGATCACTTCTACAGACATTATTCAATCTGGTTACTCTTGTAGGAGACCACTATATAGGTTGAAAGATTCTTTAAAGTCATGCTCAAGTGTGACCAAGAAGTCCATCGAAAGACTGGTACTAACAGCTGGTGGATATGAGTCACATAATAGCTAAGATAGCTATTCCTGTTTAACCGCCTTATTTAGATTTTGCACACCGATAACGGAGAACAGCCTGCAAAGATTGAGTTCATGTGTTGTACTTAAGAGATTGGTCCGAGTTCTGTTCCATAGAATAAATTTCATATTTAAAGCTTCGTAAGATATTACTGAAATTCATGTATTCGTCAAGTCTGTAATCCTCACTTATCCGGCTCTTCTTGAAGAACTTTGTGATAAACTCTTACAGATATCAGTTATTATCCTTGTAATTTTTGGAGATTTCGCCATGAATCGACATCAGTCACAGAGCCAGTAAAAAACACTGAGACAATGGAGAGTCACCTAAAGTCCTACTTTGGGATTCTTCAATTATACCTGCTGGCAACTCAATCATGGATCAAACTGAAGATATTGATGTTCCAAGACAGGTTGTCTGTAGACCACTTAGATACCGAACTGTGATCAAGATCTGACCGAATCGTCCCACAATAATAGGGTGCCTAGTGATAAGCAGATATATGTAAAAGTTATATTTGTACAATCTCAGCAAAATTGAAATGAGTAATTCCGATGTTTCGTTCGGCAGACTGGTCCGAATTTATTCGGGGAAATTAATCGAAATTAGAATAACAGAGGTTTATAAACGAAAAGCGCGTCGGTGGCACAGTGGTAGGGTGCTGGCCAGCCACTCAGGTGGTCAGCGGATCGATTCCCGTCCGAAGCAATCCTTTACCTTGGTAGGACAGAAATAAGACACGTAAAGAGGGAAGGTTGGGCATGAGGTGGCTAGCAACCCCATCCTGTAAAAATAATCACCACTACTACAGAAACTTCAAGCCTCTAGCTTGAAGCCTTATGTTCCACTGGGAACGTAAAGGAATTTTAAAAAATATATACAAAAAGGGACATGTCTTGTCTTTAGAAAATCTGTCCAATCATATGAATCATGAATCAGTCATTAAAATTGCATGGGCTTTGATCAAAATTTGACCTCTGACTTGCAAATATTAGTCTACTTTTGTTAAACACCTTCAATATTGTGTACTATTGCATAAGATTTTTAGTGATTACATTCCACTATATAGTGGTGTATGTGCAAGTGTGTATGCGGCGACAGTTGTAAATCATTTGTTAACCTATCCACAAGAAGATACGGACAGTTAGGAATTTAGATCAGATATGATTAATTATTGGTACATATCCTTTTTTATTTATTAATAAGGACTTGACAGATGTTTTATCCTAGTCTAGGAATCATCGAAAGTACGCACCTAAGGCAATAGAGTTCTTACCGACGACCTTCCGGTTACAAGGAAAGCTCGTAGACCATTCAGCCACTGGGTCCCAACCCCAAATCAATGACCAACCCATGAATTCTAACTTCTGCCAATTCATGACATAGCGCGACCACTTCGCAATGTCTTCTTCGATGATGAGTTACTGCCTCATCTTCAACCTGCTGTATCCTAATGGTTACCGCTCCCCACTAGAACCTCAGGTAACTGCTGGTCATTAATGAGTATCGGATTGATTTTCAAGTATTGATTTTTTCAGGGATTCTGTTTGATTAGTTGGAGGATTTCATCATGGATCGAGTCCCAGTGTCTTAATGGTCTACAAGCTCGCTAGTCGAGTAGGCAGAAGGTCCTGGATTCGAACCGTAGTGGTGGGTGCGTACTGATGAAGTGTCTCAAACCAGGCTGACGAAGCAGCTGGCTGTCCAGTACTCCTAGGTGGTTTTCCAATGGTTCTCTAACCAATGTCAGCTCATGATGAAATCCTGTTACCAACCAAAAAATTAATTGTCATCACTCACTCTGAACGTGCTTCGGGAGCCCCAATTTTTAAACAGGGTTCAATTTCTTTATAATAAAGGTTTTTTTTGTATTTCCCAAGGAATGAAAAACAAAACAATGTTGTTAAAGACGACTGCAGGAAATCTAGGTCCATATCTTCCTACCCATCGATTGCTTCCAACCATCTAATATCACAGAAGTTTAAAAAGCAATACAAAAGAATGCATTGATTGATTTTTTGGTTATTACAGGATATGCTCATCGATGCGATTAGCTGGTGATGGGTATTTTTCATAACTAATTAGTTAATCGCGGTTATCGCTTTCATAAACTTTTAGAATATATTTATCTATTGGTTACCATGATTACATCATATACAATCAACAACAACAACAAAACGTAGCCAATATCAGTAGTAAATAGTCTGAATAATGAAATATTTATAAACTGTCAAATCAGCTTATCGCGACTTACCCTTCTCAGTGAGGCTGATCATTATATTGGCCATTAGGTCAGCTTTAACAGAGGCAACTTTAGTTTCTTCACATGGAATATCTAATGCTGAAAAAGAAAAAAAATGATTTTAAATGGCATGAATACGCGAGGAAAGTGAGTTGTTTATTATTATTATTATTACTATTTTATGGAATGAAATATGATTAGGTTTCAAGAATTGGTTTGTAAGGATTAGATTTGATTTTTCGAGTCTTCATCAGACTTGAGGTTCATCCAGTCGGGATCGAGGATGGAAATCCGCGCCGATGACATTGGTTGGCGCCTGTCACGCTAAAATCACGAGTTGGTAGAAGTTAGAATTCATGCACTGGCCACTGAATCAGGTCCCATTGGCTGAATGGTATAAGAGGTTGCCTTGTGACCGGAAGGTCGTGGGTCCGAAACCTAGTGCAGTGAGTATGTACTGTCGATGATTCCCAAAATAGGCTGCTGTATGTGTTGGGTGTAGACTCAATGAACCAGGACTCAGTAATCAATCTCTCTCACCACCTACATAGATTACTTCTTAGAATCTTAACCCTCTCCCACCCTACTGTGTGTGGTTGTGTGTTAAGGCATGCAGTGCAACTGCTGAGTTTTTTTCTAAATTACTTATCTTCTTGGGGTTACAGAATTTCATCATGAGCTGACATCAGTTAGAGAACCATTGAAAAACCAGCTGGGAGTACTGCACAGGCATCCGTTTCGTCCTAGTTCAAGACTTTTCGGCAGTACGCACCCACCACAGGGGTTCGAACCTAGGGCCTCCCGGTTAAAAGGCTAGGTAGCTTGTAGACCATTAAGCCACTAGGACCTGATTGAATGGCCGATGAATTCTAACTTCTATCAATTCAGTGGTTACGACTCTTACTGACCATGTGTACATGGTCCAAGTTTCGATCCCCGGCCGACGCATATCTGATATCAATGGTCGGCCTGCCTAATTTTGGCTACCTATATCACATGCTGAGAATTCCATACTTGTACCGAAAATACGGTGGGGAATCAAGCTGTAATCGAAAATAAATAAAAAGTGAAAATAAAATTTTTAACACTAATTCCAAGTCAGGAGCAAAGACTTGACACAGGCATCACTAAAAGCGTTTCCAACAGCCTACTGCCAACTTCCATCAACATATTCTCCCTTCACCCTTCACTGTAGATCAGATGGCCAGCTGGAAAGGATACGCTACAAGGAAATCTGACAAAGGGATAGCTGAAAAACAGCTCTCTGATAGCAAGAGAGCCAAAAATAATATGTCTAGAAAAATAGCAATGGATAGAACCTACACTGAGGAGACCGTGGATTTACGTTAAACGCCCACTAGGCATTTCATTGGGACCCAAATATGAAACAATGAGTTGGGCTACATCTCGGGAATGAAGATAACATGGAAGGTTATGAGCTGTCGTGCAGGCAGCTAACATAAAAAGACTACAGAAAACATAATGAAGCGATAATATGCTGCTGAAGCCCTCTATTCCCCTCAGAACCTATTTTGACCTCAAAGTTCATCTGGGGTCAAATTAAATGCTGGGATTATTATTCACCATGGATATTTTATTTCAAAATCCATAGTATATATTAAAACGCTTAAAATTTATTTAAATAATAGTTTTTTTTCTTTTATTTTTTATTTTTCAATTACATGTATATTGTATACATTGTAAAAATGCTGACCTTAAATTAATTGTTTATATTTTATTTTACTTATCACACTATTATTATTCATTTGTTCATTGTTCAATGGTTAGCGCCATATTTAAAAGTAACACATGACTGATGTATCTGAAGATGACAGTTAGTTAATTAATTACACTTGTAATACATTTTGCAACTAAAAGTTATATACTTTTTAAGTGGAGAAGATTTTTGGCAAAATGCAAAATAAATTTTTCTTTTAATAAAACTTAAGGAAAGCAACAACAGATAAACAAACTGTGCAGATGGCTGTTGTTATGACAACTTTAGTAAACAAATTGTAACAAGTGAAATGTTTACACTTATACTAACTAATTCTTCAGTGTTGCTTACATGAGGTGTTTATTATATCTATAGTTTTAATTTGATAGTGTTTATGATTTGTTATGTCTTGACGGCAGCATGAAATTTGGGTTTTGGTGACTAATTCAATATGGTAGTCGGTTGGATGGGAGATAAGAATTGTACTAAGTAAAAAGTAATTAATTTATGAAAGTATATTTTTGAAAGATTTTACAAGTTGATCAAGGGATTGATATCAGTTACAGAGAACCATTGAAAACTAACCAGAGAGTACTGGACAGACAGCTGTTTTGTCAGCCTAGTTTGGGAATCATCGGCAGTACACACCAACCCCACTGAGGTTCGAACCCATGACCTTCCGGTCGCAAGCAAGCAAGTTCGTATAGCATTCAGCCAATGGGACCTGATTCAGTGGCCAACCAATGTTGTCGGTGGGACATTCAGCCTCACACTTGATTGGATGAACCTCACTTAAATAGAATGTTCAAATATGCATTTAGTATTCTGTTGCTAATGCAGTATTGAACTGTGGGAACATGTGAGAATAATATTCCGTTGAGACGCATTGTTTGATTCACACCACCAAAACACGATCTCAGCCAAGTTACTCTCAGACATATACCTGTCCAGGTCCTACACTCGAGTAATGACCTAGAGTGGAATTTCATTCAGCGGTCCTCAGAAGCATGTTACCTATCCGCTGCCATTTTCTTCGGCATTCCTGTTGAGCAATAGGTTATTGGTTGGTTAGTTAGTTTATAGAGTTTTGAGTTGCTAATTCATTCCCCCCCCCCACTCAGGTCATTTGATCTTCATTATGGAGACAGCCAGCCAGCCAGCCAGCCAGCGAAGGCATGCTACTGTTGATAGAAGTCTGCAATAGCCTATTGGAAATGTATTTCCTGACGTGCACGGCAAGTTCTTGATCCATACCGAAGACGTGACTGACACTGGTATTTCAAATCAGAATTTTGTTCTGTGTATTGGGTACAGAGGAATTTCCCTTCCACTACCAATCCTGGCTTGTTTTGACAATCTTCTTCATTCGTGCCGCCTGTTTGTAGTTGAAACAATGCTGCCTGGATTAGAGAAGGGACTGACCTCTTTCAGATTTCTCCAGTTGATAGTGATTGGTGCTGCTGGTTGTTGTTGTTGGTTGGTTGGTTGGTTGGTGGTCTTCATCACCTTCGTCTTCTCTAAGTTCACTTGAAGTCCCACCTTTCTGACTTCATCTGCCAATTTGTTGGCTTTCTCCTGTAAGTCTTTGCGTTTATGTGGTTTTAGACATAAGTCGTCCGCGAAATCTAGATCTTCTAGTGTCTCCTTTTCAGTTCAACATAATTCTTATCTTCTCATCCCCCCCCACCGCCACAGCCTTCTACATAACGCATCCCACCACAGTCAGGAATATCATCTACAAAAGTATAATTTTATTGATTTATTTTTAAGTGAAGCCAATATTCCATTGTACTTTATCCTGTGCAGTCAATATCAAATGATTGCATGACTCATCGTAGCCTTTGACTTCTTCCTTGACATAATCTCCTCCATGTCACCCTCTAAGTGACACCAAACTCGTCATTTCCAATTTAATGCTCCTCTCGACACTGTGTCTGCTATGAAACTCCGCTTAAGGGTCTCTGCGGCGCTTATGTTCAACTCATCCTTATTTCAAGTGTTGGTTTGTAGGGATTTGATTGATTGGTTACAGGATTTTCATCATGAGCTGATATTAGTTAGAGAACCACTGGAAAACCAGCTGGGAGTACTGGACAGCTGTTTCGTCAGCCTAGTTTAGGACTCTTCATCAGTACGCATCTAACGCCACGGTTCGAACCCAGGACCTTCTGGGTACAAGGCGAGCTACATCGTAGACCATTAAGCCACTGGGACCCGATCCAATAGCCAGTCAGTCCATGAATGCTAACTTCTGCCAATTCACGACATAGCGCGACCCCAGACAATGTCTTCGGTGGCGAGTATTTGTCCTCACACTCGACCTGCTGAACCCTACTGGTCACGACTTCTCACTAGAACCCCAGGTAACTACCTACCTGGCATCCTTATTTCCTTCTTCACATTTGTTGAACAAAAGATTCTCAACTCATCCACAGTCTACTAGAGAACCTTGCTGACTGCTAGTTCCTACCGGTTATCTATAGATCAGTGTCGACAGAAGGGAAGAGGTGTAGTTGAAACGTCTGCAGTAGCCTCTTGAAAATACTCTTCGTGAAGTTTACAGATAGAAGCAGTAGCGGATATGACACTAGTGTTTAGCGGAATTCGCATCTTTATTCCTTGTGATGACTGCTGTAGATTATTTATTTATTTATTTAAACGCTGAAAAAACTTGGTACAATATGACACCAAGAATGATGCGACACAATAATAATAAAACAACATAGATCAAAAGAAAAAAAGAAAGAGAAAAAATATAAGTAGAAAACGGATGAGGAACTTCATCTGGAAGGAAAACAGTCATGCTTAACAAGTTCAAACAGTATTCGTTAACTATCATCGGGAAGGGAAGAAAGGAGGAAATCGCAACACGTTCGCCATTGATAACTGCGATTCTTGGCCATATCCGATAACGTTTCGAGCCACCGATTTGAGCTATCTCACGGTCGTGACGCACCAACCGATGCTAATCTAGCACAAACATCCTTCATCCCACGACGCCACGTCATGGACTGACCACCCCTCCGCCTTTTCCATCCCGTCTCAGGGCTGGCTAGCGAACAGAGACCTGTACGGAAGCCTCTGGGATGACATTCACAGCACATGTCCAAGCCACCGGAGCCGGTGTTTTCAGATGACGACACTAAATGAATGGTGATCTCCACTGTGTTCCAACACGCCGCCGAACCTCAGAATTACTCACGCAATGATACCATCGAACGCAAGAAATCCTGTGGAGACAGAGATGGTCGAACACGCACATCCTAAGCTCCGAGAGACCAGGTTTCACAGGCGTAGAGCAAGACAGCCCGCACCGAAGCATTGTATACCCGACCGTTGACAGCCAGGCTAACGTCGCGACGGCGCCATAGGTGGCTCAAGC